ATGTTTTAACTGGTTTGAAGAGTAGTAACTTTTCGTCCATACCTGTATAAAACTACTGAGTAAGAAAATATATATTTATAACTTTTTTTACATAAAAAAGGTCTCTTGGTAAAAATCGCTTCGAGTAATGGTTCTCGAGATATTTGGAATTGAAATTATCAATACCTGTCATCATTGACATAAATTAAACATGTTGACTAAATAGTTATTAACTGAACCCATAAATTTGATTTTTTTGTGCCAAAAGATCAACAGAAACTGTTTAATTATCAATTTTTTGCAGAAAAATTTATGATTAATTCAAAAAAATAAAAATTTATTATTTCAGCCATATAACTATGTGTGCTATACTCAACGTGTGCTTATTTTTTGTCAATAATGACATGTATTGACTATTTCCATTCTAAATATCTTGAGAACGGTTGCTCGTAGCGATTCTTACCAAGAGACATTTTCAAAACAGTCAAAACGCATGTAGGTGGCGCCCCCTACAACTAGGAGTCATTTTGACATCAAAATCAAATTTCTCGTGTCCCAAAATTCCCAATCACCAATTTTTGTCCAAATATTGACGTTACTTCAGAAATTATTTAGAAAAAATCGAAATATAAATGAAAATTTTACACCCTGTATCTCCGAAACAAAGTATTTTAGGACATACATTTATACGAACTTTTTACTTATTTTTATCTGCAGAATATGCGCCCGGAAATTTCCGGAATACAGTTCGGACCACCCTTATAGAGTAAATAAAATCTGAATAAATGAAATCTTGGATTTTTATGTAAGTTGATTTTAACAAGAAGTGTATATTTATTATATTTCGAAATCAAATAAAACGGAGAAATCGAAAGTTTTAGAGTATTGAAAATGTATATAATGAATTGTAATCAGAAATAATCGATAACAATGAACAATAAATCGAAAATATTTTAAAATATGCGGTCCTTATTTCAGACAATAATATCCTGTCGTCTTTAAACAAATATTAACCTTGCCTCTTAAAGAAAACTTATTAATAATAAAAATTTGGTTCAAACCACAACGTGTACTACATATAGTAGGCAAATTACTTTAGAAAATTTAAAAAATATACAGGGAGTTTCAAAACAAAGGCGAAAAAATGTAAGGAGTGATTCTTTATCAAAAATAGAGGGTAGTTTATTATATAAACGGTGGCTCTACCCCTAGGGATATATTAAGTGGAAAAATATTGTTTTTATTTTTTATTTTAAAAACGAATAGCCATACAGTAACGAAATTTTATGGCAGTCTAAGTGAAAATATACTATCTGCTTATTTCTTTTCTTTTTGACGTCTTTTTTTGATTTAAATCATTTTAATGACTTAAGTCATTTGATTTGAAAGCATTTTTTGAAAGCTGACTTAAAACTTAAAAAATTTAAGTTTTTTCAAAATGATTTGTGATTTTAATCTTTATTCCGAAATAGAAAAAGATCATTAAAAACTCATTAGTCATTAAAAAGATCTAAGTCTTTTTATAAAAGGCTTAAGTCAGATTTTATATATTTTTATGATAAATTTTTAACAGCAGCATTTCTTTTTAAACTGCTAAGATACGCGCACACTGACCAGAGCCGCACGCGCCGCGCCGACCGAAGAGAAATATTGTTTATCTTACTTTCAATGAAGGTGCGCACACTAGCCAGAGCCGCACGAATCGCATCGACGAAAATGCGGCCAGCATTGTTGTTGGCCAGAATGATTTTCGATAAATGCGGCTAGTGCTGCTGACGTCACACGCAATTCCTTCTACTCTACGTAGGTAGCCGCAGAGGAAATTAGAAATCCAATATGCTAAGAAAGTTCGCAAATTTTTCATGGCTCATATTGAAAAATTTTTAGTTCATCCTCAATTAAATATGGGAATAATGTGGATTTTTGCAAATATTGTGAACTTATAACTTTCGATTCTTTCTCGTGATTTCTTCTTCTATTAGCAAGGAGCTTTTAAGTATTCTTGTTCGTTGTCATTCATTGTCGAGAAATGTTAAAAAAAACACGCTTATCACCGCAGATAGGACTTTGGAAGCGACTGATGAGAAATTCGTTTGGCAAATACGGGAGTAGTAGGGGCAAAAAGAAACAAAATAGCGAATAATGCGGCGCGTGCGGCGCGTTCGGTACGGCTCAGTGTGCGCGACAAGAAAAAAAAAAGTGCGATCCGTGTGGCGAGTGCGGCGCTGGTCAGTGTGCGCGTACCTCTAAGGTATGCGCACATTGACCAGAGCCGCACGCGCCCCATCGACCGAAGAAAAATATTGTTTGCGTTACTTTCAATGAAGGTGCCCACACTAGCTAGAGCCGCACAAATCGCATCGACGAAAATGCGGCCAGCATTGTTGGGCCGGAATGATTTTCGGTAAATGCGGCTAGTGCTGCTGACGTCACACCCAATTCCTTCCACTCTACGTAGCGTAGGTAGCCGAAGAGGAGATTAGAAATTCAATAAGCTAAGAAAGTTCGCAAATTTTTCATGGCTCATATTGTGAACCTATGGAGACTTGGGCTATTGTAAATGACTTAAGGAATAAGACTTCTTCGTCTGGCACAGTCTTTAATTCACCTGAAGATTTAAACACTTACTTTGTTAATGTGGCTAAAAATTTAGTGAACACTATATAACTCATTCCCATGATTCACTTTCATATCTCCCTAAAGCAAATGAGAATTTACAGTTTCCTCTTCACGCCCGTAGCATTATTTGAGCTCCGTAGTACAATTAAAAGTATTAAAAACAAATCCTCATCTGGGACTGATGGGCTTATTCTCAAAATGTTTTCTTCCTGAATTCACATTAATCCATCTTACTACTTTAATTAACGAGTCATTCCAAAAAGGAGTTTTTCCAAACTGCCTTAAGACAGCAATAATTATTCCCCTGCATAAAGGAGGAGATAAAGATGAAGCTTCGAACTATCACCTAATTGCATTCCTGCCCACATTATCTAAGATCATTGAAAGACTGGTTAAAAAAAGTTTCTATCTTTTCTCCTTAAATATAAAATACGTACTAGCCATCAATTTGGATTTCTAAGTAACAGTTGCACAAATGATGCTATGTTCGACTTTTTTAATAATGTATAATACTCTAGCCTGAATAATCATCACTCTACAGCTACAAGTTTCTTTGATTTCTCTAAGGCTTTCGACTGTGTAAATCATAATATCTTAATTAACAAATTGCAATACTATGGATTCAGGGGAGTGCCGCTCGAATCGCTTAAGTCATATCTTGGCAACAGAAGGTAGCTTGTGAAGATTGATATGTCTATATGTCTTCTTGTAAGCCTATAGAATGTGGTGTCCCTCAGAGTTCAGTACTTGGCCCTATTTTGTTTCTGGTGTTTATCAACGACATTGCAAATCTAGACGTTAGCGGTAAAATCTGCCTCTTTGCGGACGATACTAGTTTCGCTTGGAGCGGCCCAGATGTTACGGCACTATATAATTATATAATACTAATAGTGACTTACGCACCATTAAATCTTGGTACGACTCTAATCTCCTATGCCCCAACCTATCAAAAATTAAAGTCTTGTCATATAAAAGTACTATACAACCTTTTGTACTTAATAACACCACTATTGACGTCGTGGACTCTGTGAAACTCTTAGGACTTGTAGACAACTCGTTAAAATGGGACTTTCACATCGAAGCTCTATCAAAGAAATTAAGCGCTGCCTGTTTTGCGCTAAGATCAGTTTCTAAGGAGCTTAACTTATCAACCTCTAGAATAGCCTATTATGTATCCTTTTTGAATCACATCTTCGTTATGCCCTTCCATTCTGGGGTATTTGCTGCGCAACAAAATTTGATCGTATTTTCAGACTTCAAAAGAGAGCAGTTCGATATTTATTGGGACTGAACAGTATAACTCACTGCCAGAATTTCTTTAAAAATTTCAAAATACTGACTCTTCCTTCTTTATTCATTTTTGAATCCGTTTGCTTAATCCGCAAGCACATATCTGCTATTCCAGAAAGGCCATCTCATAACTATCCACTTAGGAATGCGGAGCACGATTTTTATCTGCCAAACCCGAGCTCAGAACTAGTTAAAGGTTCAATATTGTACAATGCTAAAAAAATATACAATCATCTGCCTTTGAATATCAAGTCACTTTCATTCTTTCCCGCATTTCGCAAAGCTCTGAAATCATACTTACTGGAGAGATACTATATGCGGTAAACGACTTTTTTGTTGATATTTAATCATGAACAATTTTGAAGTTTAAAATTTTGATCATCTCACACACTGGTCAAAGGTCAAGTATTTAAAATTTTATAACTCTTAAAATTATATCTATTTACTGCTTACTATTCTGCAATTGTCCACGTATGTACTTTTTGTAATTATAATGACTTAATTTTTTTTGAATTGTATGATTTGTATTGTGTATTTTTTGTTGTTTGTGTATATTTTTTTGTGCTTTTGTTTGTTTTGTGATTGCTTTGTCGATGAAGCTGTTTTGGCTTTTTGCACAATAAAGCGTTGTTTGTTTGTATAAAGTACTACAAAATCGGTTAAATTTTATAAAAAAAATATAGTAGAATTTTTTGTGTTTGTAGTTGTTCTGAACATTAACCATTCTATTTTACGTAGTTTTAGTCTCATCTGTATCTACAATAAATTAGTACTATGATACTACTACTAGACTTAATTCGTTTTGATTTTAGAAATTAGAAGTCTTTTTAAAACTGACTTGTTGCAGCTCTGATACGTTATTTTTCAGCCTTAAATTGACAGTTAGATTGCCTAAAAAGAGTCTTTTGGACTTAATCTCTCTAAAGTATTGGACCACTCGTCACCACCCATCAAAACGTCGATTTTGTACATTTCCTAGCAACTTAAGCACCACCGTAAGTTGGAACCGATTACTAAAGTACCAACTATTATTTTAATTTAATAAAAAACCTAGTAGTACCGTCTGCATGTACGCCAAGGCCAATAATGTTTGCGTAATGCAGATAGACTATTGTGTCAATGATGCATGCCTATACGATATTTTTCAGTGAATCCTGCCAGTCGGAAGCCGCGCTACTACAAGCGAATTGATGGGTACTTAAGTAACTTAAGACTTTTGACGCTAAACATTGCTTGTTTTAAAGTGCGCGAGTTAAGAGATTAAACAAAATTCTTTATATTTATTTGTTGCTTAAAATTTAATTAATATTCACTGACTTAAACAACAATTATGTGCCATTTCTATGATGTTACAAAGTTTATATATTTTAGTGATATTTAAATTTATTTTAGGTGAGTAATTGCTAATTGTATTTTTTTAACTATCATAACATTAACATAATGAGATAATTTTATTTCCCACTCATTTTTTTTACAGAAAATACTTGAAGATACATTTAAACAATATAAACTATAATCTAAGAATTGATCATATTTTAATAATACGTATTTTTGTAATAACAACCGTGCTTAGTGATAGAAAAATTGATTTTCATCGGGTAAAATTACTTTTTATATTATAAATAACAATAAAATTGATAGATACTGTGAGAAATAAGCTTTTAAATTATTAAATAACATAGATTCTATATGTATATGAAAAAGTATATTTGTAACTTAATATTTTTGGCACTAAACATTGTTTTAACCCTCAACTGGCGTGGTGAAGAAAAAGTACGAGAAAATCAAGCAAAAGTACGAGAAGGATAAAACTACTATATAATCCCTACATGAATTTCCGTAGAAATATTTTTCTACTCCACCAACCACTGATTTTTTTTTCGTAAAATGGTCTTGATAGTATTTACTACATTTTTTTGTCTCTTTTAAAAAAACGCCACACAAAAAAATTACCTACCTACATGATTTTTTGGAAGTCAGACACGAAAAAATATTTTTTTTCTCAAAAAGTATGCGCGGTGGCGTTTTTTTGCCGAGACAAAAAATGTAGTAAATACTAGGACCATTTTACCAAAAAAATGGTCGTCGGTGAATTTCGAAAATATTTATGCAAAAATTTATGTATGGGTGGGGGTAGTTTTCATCCTTCCCGTACTTTTTATTGATTTTTATGGACGTCAAATGTTAAAGCCCCTAGCAAAACATAGGTACCCCAAATCCTATTCAAATCGGAATATCACTTCCTAAAATATCTTAAAAAATTGTTAATTTTTCTTTTTAATAGAAAGCGGACCTCTAGCGGACAAACCAAGCACTTTTTATAGAGGTAAATTGTGTCCAATGAACTTATTTTGATTTGAAAAATACGCTGTAGTTCTATGTTCACGGAATATTGGGACATCCTGTATAGCGTGTCCGTCGTGGATTTTATGCAATTCCATTGGTTTATTTTAAAAATGAGAGATCATAGTGATCATACGTTTGGGGTGATGGAACGACGCACAGTGGTTTCGACAATGGAAAAAGCTCCCCAAAAAAGAGGGTGTTAAATCGGGTTTAAATTATCCTATCTTACATCGAGTTAGTTCAAAGACATGATAATAATATTACTTTTTTAATTTAATTACTAGTTTTGAATTTACAACACCTCCTTTTTGACAATTTTCTTAATATACGAAACGCGCAAAAATAAAGCGAAAATAAGTAATATTTTACAGCCCTTCTTTTAATTCCTAAAAATCGGTATTACCCAGGAACTGTTTCGTTTATCCATGGGTATCAAAAGTAAAAATCATGTTGCCAAAATATACCGTGCCTTTGATGCAGTTTAGTTTGAATCTATTTCTAATAAAAATACTTTACTTCTTACTTTAATCAGACTAGAACAAAAAAGCTTTACCGAGCTTTGGTCTCGGATTAATTTGACTAAAAAAACAACTGTTAAAGTAGTGATTCTATAAATTTTATCGCCACATTCGGCCACGTTTGTTAAAAATTTAAAATAAAAGATAAACAGTGTGGAAAAAAATGAAAACTACATTCTTCATTTTTGCGGATGCCAATGAATTCATTTAATATAATTTACTTTTTTTGCCACTTAAAAATATATAAATATCATTATATTGTATAAGATTTAAATGTTATAAATTATAATAATTTGACCCACAGTGTAACTAAACTGCGCATCAATTGAAGCGTAAAGTGCAAATTTTTGCATTAAGTTTAACTTCTTGTATTTTTTAAACTTTTGAAGGAATTTTGAATTTGCCAGCCAGATTCTAAAACATTGTTTTATCGACTATCGAACCGTTCTTTGTAGTTTTTTTCAATTATTGGTCAGGACCCATAATACAGGGTAAAACAAAAATGCGCGCATTTTTAACAAAATTTTAAGTGAGCCTCATTTTGTGGAGGGATGGAGGGGATCCATTTTTTCTGGGTAGTTTGAAGGAAGTGTTTTATACCTCGGGACGTTTATGAGTTTTTTTGGCTATCGTTCTCCATTGCGATGTTTTCGATATTCTTATGATTGTCGGTAGAGTTTTAATACTAATAATTTTATCTCATTGTGAAATGAAGATATCGTATTTTTAAGCATTGTGCATTTTAATGTATAATTAAATAAAGCAAACAATTAATTTTATAAAACTAAAAAGCGTTACAGTTATACAGGGCGTCAAAAATTTATCTAGCTGGTATATTTAAATTGTATGAACAGGTTTTATTATGTATCTTGGCATAACAAAAGAAGCATTTAACACTTTTTCATTAACGATACAGTATAATCACTTAGTATAATCATTAGTTAATACTCAAAAATACAATATATTAATTTCATAATGAGATAAATTTATTAGAATTAAAACCTTACCAAAAATTATGAAAAAGGAAAACATCGCAATGTAGAGCGATACCCCAAAAAAACTCAAAAACGTCCAGAGGTATAAAACAGCTCTTTTAAAATACACACAAATAATGGAAATCCTCCATCCCCCCACAAAATGGAGGTCACTTAAAATTTTGTAAAAAATGCACGCATTTTTGTTTTACCTTGTATTATGGGTATTGGCCAATAAATAAATACACTGCAAAGAACGGTTCGACAGTCGATAAAAAAGCGTTTCAGAATCTGGCTAGCACTTCAAAACTCCTTCAATAGTTCAGAAAATACAAAAAGTTCAACTTGATGCAAAAATTTTTACTTTACGTTTCAATTGGTGCTCAGTTTACTTTTAAATAAATTTATTAAACCATGTTATTTGATGTATTTTATTAAGCTGAATTGAATAAAATCCGTCCCAATGCTATGGGATTAACGGTTTAGGAAATATAGGGTTTTTTCGTTTATTATCAGTTTCACACCACTGTGCGACGCATTACGGATGCATGTAAACCTACATCAAGAGATTATTTATTTGTCCATAAAATATAACTTTTATTTTTGTGCCTACTTACACTAAAATTATGTATTCATATCCATAATGTTACAAAGTTTATATATTGTAGTATTATTTAAATATAATTTAGGTGAGTAATTCTTAATCGTGCTGTTTTTAGAACGATTATGACACTAACCATGAGGTAATTCTATTTACATGAAAACTATAATAAAAACAAAAACATTCTTTTGTTTTTAAAATGAAAAAGGCAGACATATATTTCAGCAATATAAAATATCAAACAATAATAGGGTGTAATGCCAATGGTAAATACAATAATTATTGTATTAATATCTGTTGGTATACCGGGTGCGTCTCAAAGGTGGCTCACCCCTAAAAAAACAATTGAACACGTCAATCAGTCATAATTTATGTCGTATACTAACATACAAAATCTCGTTTGTTTATCTGAAAAAATAAAAAAGTTATAGGGGGTGAACCACCTTTGAGACGCGCACCCGGTATAATATATTATTTGTAAAGGCAACATTGAATTGGAGAAAAACTCATAAAACTGATATACATATGATACCGAGTATTAGAGTATTATACTGTAAGAATGAACCTTTAAAATGCACTTTACCAAAAACTAATTTAATTAGATTAGTCTGCGATTTTACTAAAAATAGTACCTATACAGGGTGGTCCGAACTGTATTCCGGAAACTTCGGCAGCATATTCTGCAGATAAAAATAAGTAAAAAAGTTCGTATAAATGTATGTCTTAAAATGTTTAGTTTTGGAGATACCTACTGTGCTACAAGGTATAGAAGTGGTGGGTGATGAAGAAAATGTCTCTTGGTAAAAATCGCTACGAGCAACCGTTCTCAAGATATTTAAAATGGAAATAGTCCATACATGTCATTATTGACAAAAAATAAGCACACGTTGAATGTTTATTTTTTTAAATTAATCATAAATTGTTCTGCGAAAAAATGATGATTAAACAGTTTCTCTTGAACTTTTGGCACAAAAAGATTTCAAATTTAAGATTTCAGTCTAATAACTATTTGGTCAACATGTTTAATTTGACAATGTTGACAGGTATTGATAATTTCAATTTCAAATATCTCGAGAACCATTACTCGTAGCGATTTTTACCACGAGACCTTTCTTATGTAAAAAAAATTACGGATTAAAAATGATTACTCTTCAAACCAGTTAAAGCATATGTAGGTGGCGCCCTCTACAAGTAGGAGTCATATTGACATGAAAATCAAATTTCTCATGTCCAAAAACTGCCAGACACCAATTTTCATCCAAATATTGACATTACTTCTTAAATTATATGGAAAAAAATCGAAAAAAAAAATGAAATTTCTACACCCTGTATCTCCGAAACTAAGCATTTTAGGACATACATTTATACGAACTTTTTTACTTATTTTAGTCTGCAGAATATGCTGCAGAAGTTTCCGGAATACAATTCGGACCACCCTGTATATGCATTTTATAAGTAATGAATAATCGTGTTTTTTAGAAAAATAATGATGCCATTAACAAAGTGAGGTAATTTTATTTAAATGAAAAACCAAAACATATATTTTTTGATAGAAGAATAGTAAAAGAGAATAATAAACAAAACTTTCCATGGATTTACCATTATTTTAATAATACCTATATTTTGTAATAATAACTGCTATTAGTGAAAACGAAGTAAGCGATTTTACCGAGAGACATTTTTACGTAAAAAGTTAGGGAAATGTATATTTTTTCATTCAATAGTTTTATACAGGTACAGACGAAAAGTTATTACTCTTCAAAACAGTTAAAACACATGTAGTTGGCGCTCTCTACGAGCAGAAGTCATATTGGCAACCAAACGCCTTGCGTTACCATCTTCTGATGTGTCTCGAATACTCGTCAGCGAGTAATGGCAGTATGTATGTATGTATATTGGCATCAAAATCAAATTTCTCATGTCAAAAAACTCCCAGCCACCAATTTTCATCCAAATATTGACGTTACTTCAGATATTATTTGGTAAAAATCTAAATAAAAATGAAACTACTACACCCTGTATCTCCGAAACTAAGCATTTTAGGACACACATTTATACGAATTTTTTTGCTTATTTTTATCTGCAGATTATGCTGCCGAAGTTTCCGGAATACAGTTCATATTGTTCATACATACAGGGTGAGTTTCCTACGATGTTCTCTATGGGTATCTCGGAAACTACTGGAGATAGAGAGTCGGTTAAATGGGGAAAGAATTGCAGTTTTGTGAGGTCATAAATATGCGCCTTTCAGATTTTTGAAAAAAATCATGGCTTACTAGATATTTCGAAAAATACAAATTTTGGCTATTTTAAAAATTGTCCCTAATTCCATTATAAGCTATTTTAGACAAAAAGTTTTCAGATAAAAGTTGTAGATAATCACATCCTTAATGAGTCTGTGTTCTCCGTTTTTTTCTAAAGCCTGCCATTTTTGACATATGACACAAACATATGTTTTTTTAAATGGAAACCATAGTTGGCCATGACTTCATAAAAAGCGCCATTTTTTAAGCTTTTTAGTGATGTATAATATCTTTTCTTCGAAAAATTACTGAGTTATAGCCGATTCTTATCATTTTTAAACAATTTCACTTAGTTAGCCATGGAAACAAGTTCAATCGCCGTTGCTCTCTGAAATGTGAAGCCGTCACATTCAAATTTTATTAATTAAAATAAACAAAAATTGTAAATATGTATTTTTCAAATGAAGAAAAGCCTGTTGATCTCGCACATCAATAGAGTAGTTCCAACATGACTTTCATTATGACACACCACCCCCCACCCCCCATAATGAAAGAAATGTTAAAATTATTTATATCATAATAATTATACAAACGCAGTGATAGGAAGAGGTGGACTAATTGCATGGGCGTCCTCGATCACCTAACCTATCCATTTTAGAATTTTTTATGCGGTATAGTTAACAATAAGGTTTACAAAATAACTTATGAATTAAGAGAGGCACTCGAAGTGGCGGTACGAGAAAAGTTTAATTAAGTCGACCGGTCCTTCTGTGAGAATAGGTAGTAATTCAGTTTTAAAAAGATACAACTCAAAACAATGGCGGATTTTTTGAACATTTTCTAAAATAAGTTAAAGTGTATGTAGTGATATTATTTTTTTTAAGTTTTAGTTTGTGTAATGTAAATTGTAAAGAACCATTTAGTAATTTATTCTGACTTTTTATAAGTTATAAATCATAACTGAATAAGAATACCATGCAATCTAAGTGAAATTAGTCAAGAAAGATAAGAATTGGCTATAAGTAAATTTGGTGTGTCGTAGTGAAAGTCATGTTGAAACCACTCGATTGATGCGCGAGTATCTAAATTTAATTTGTCATGTCTTGAAAACCGTTCTCTAAAAACGTAACATTTCAATCGGTCAACGTATCCTCCAAATGTATGGTCAAGAAAAAGTTGAAACAATCCTACACGCTTTCTTCATATGAAAAAATGCATTTTTGCCAATTTTTGTTTATTTTAATTTACAAAGTTTGGATGTGAGAGCTTCACATTTATGAGAGCAAAGACGATAAAAACTTGTTTCCATGGCTAACTATGAAATTGTTTAAAATGATAAAATTGGCTATAACTCAGTAATTTTTCGAAGAAAACATATTATAGCTTATATCGCTGAAAAGCTTAAAAAATGGCGCTTTTTATGAAGTCATGGCCAACTATGGTTTCCATTTAAAAAAACATATGTTTGTGTCATATGTCAAAAATGACAGGCTTTAAAAAAATATGGAGGACACAGTCTCATTAAGGATGTGATTATACACAACTTTTATCTGAAAACTTTTTGTCTAAAATAGCTTATAATGAAATTAGGGACTATTTTTAAAATAGCCGAAATTTGTTTTTTTTAAATATCTAGTAAGCCATGAACTTTTTCAAAAATCTGAAAGGCGCATATTTATGACCCCACAAAACTGCAATTCTTTCCCCATTTAACCGACTCTCTATCTCCAGTAGTTTCCAAGATACCCATAGAGAACATCGTAGGAAACTCACCCTGTATATTATACGTATTTTTCTTCAGAATTATTGCTTGAATAATAAATACATAGAGAAATCTAAACATTTCTATTATAAATCCCACCATATTTCCTCTAAACATATTTAATAATATGAAAAATTTCTAAACAACGTGTATTTTTCAGCAATCGCCATATTTAACTGCCCAAAATCAGACACGCGTTTTGAAAAAGTCGTGGGCTTAAGGCCATCATCAAGCAACGCTCAGCCTCTGCTACACAGCAACGATTCTACTTATCCCATTACTCTAGATTGCTTAGCTAGCTGTCAGAATAATGACAGGTGTATCAGTTTCGTGCTGCACTACGACACGCAGGAATGTTATTGGTTTGAGACTGACGTTGGCGAGACTGGACAAGAAGTTCGACAAGTCATAGACAACGAAGCTGCGTGGTTTGTGAAAACATGCCTGAAAGAAGGTAAGACCGGAAAAAAATGGTAAATTAAAAAAATATGATATTAATAGTGCGGCCCAATGAAAACGACGTCACTGTCGATAGAGAAATACTACGAGTATTTCATTTGTTGACACTGACAGTTAATAGTTATTTAAAGCATATGATAGCCATATAATAATAGTTACTTTTTATACAAGACGATAAAATTATATTTTACGTTAATGCAATTTTATCGTCGTGTATAAAACAATATTTTTTTCCATAGCGAGTTACGTTTTAAAAAATATTCAGAAATTATTATTTCAAGGAATTTATTACGAGTAGAAAAAATATTGTGCTGGGTTGGCGTTGGTTTCTCTGTAATTTGACAAATAAATAAAGCTGTCTCTTTAGTTGTCAGTTTTGAGTCAATATTTTTTAATTCTCTTTCGTGTCGATTGCTGATTGAATTGGAGCCAGAAGTGGCTCAAAACGAAATAAGTAAATTACCAACATATATTCAGGCTGAGGTGACAAACGCTATATCCAAACTACTTCCATTTAAATCCCGAATAACTTATGAAAAGGAATACAAACATTTTCAAAAATGGAAGCAATTAAAAAACATGCCAGAAGAAATCTTTGAAGAAATAAAGTTTTTAACCTAGCCTCCCTGTTAAAGTATCATTCAAGTATCATTTAATCTACCCTTGCGGTTAAAGTACTATCATAGTACTATTTTATCTATTATTTTTGATAGATATAAGACAATTTTAACAGTTGCTATGGAAAAAAGAAAATAAATTTAGATTGTCAAAGTCAGGATCATGTCAGGATTTTCAAAAATCTTTCAAAATTTAAACCGTCCCCAATGAAAAAATACCAAAAAGTGTTTAAAGCGTCTATTTTCATTGTAATTATTGCTATCTTGAGTTTAATTTTCATTTTATGTACTCAAACCCGTGATAATTGTGAAAAAGTGGCACTAAAAACTTAAAAAGCTGTGCGAACTGTGAACTGCAAAAACCATCGTGGATCGTGGCATAAAGTCGGTTTCCAAAGTTCCATAGGTATTTCAAATTCAAATTCAAATTTCTTTATTAGACCCCATTAAGTTTTACAGAATAATATTATTTTTATTGAATGTATGTCTAAAGGGATCGCAGCACGATTAAAAAACCGATACAATGACACAACGTGCCAGAGTGGTGCGACCCCAAAAACAAAATTGAAATAAATTAAATTACAAAAATAAACAGAATTAAAAAAAAATTAAAATTAGACAAAAAAAAGTGAAAATATAATTTTATCAGGGATGAGCGGAGAAAAGCAGAGAGGCATAACGAAACAGTGTAAAAACCGGAACAGCAGCCAATGACAGGTATATCAGAAGAACAAGAACCTCACAAATCAGTCGACGAAATTATAATTTTTACGAATTCAGTAAATGATTTTTAATTTGTTTTTTATAATCTGTAAAGGATTGAAATTTAAAGTTATTAGAAATATTATTCCACAAATGTGGCGCTATGAAACTGAAAGATTTTTGGAAGTTAGCTGTTCAGTGTTGAGGAATTTTAAAATAATGCACTTGCCTAGTCGAATGATCGTGGTCAATGTAATGAAACAATGAGAACAAATAGGGAGGCTGCTCTGTAGTTAAAATTCGATAAATGAATGTCATTAAATGAAATTGTCGTCTGTTAGTCATGGATAAAATTGATAAATTTTTAAGATGTGGTGTTATATGATCTCTAAAAAGAATGTTAAAAGAAAACCGTAGACACGAGTTTTGAAGTATTTGGATTTTTCTAGAGAATCTAGCGTTTATGGATGTACCATAAACAACATCGCCGTAATCAAATAAAGATAAAATAAGTGTGTTACATAATTGATACTTAGTCTTAGATGGTATATATTTCTTAAGAGACGAAAAATTCTTCAAACGTATATAAGCAGCCTTTAATTTAGTAGTTATATGTGCCTGAAAAGAAAGCTTCGCATCAAAATAGACTCCAAGATTTTTAGTCTCTGTAACAATGGGTATCGCAACATTATCTACATGGATATTCATGTTACCAGCCGTATTTGTTATTTTGTTTATATCACTACCAAATACTATAACACAAGATTTACCGGCATTTAATTTCATACATTTTCATACACAATTTCATACATGGATAGATTTCGGACAAAATTTCATACATGTCCTTATATAAAATAAAGTTTCTTATATATGCAACACACTGTGTTTTATTTACACAAAAGCTTTGGGTCGCAACCGTTGCAAGAATAGCGCCAAATAGTATTATAGTATTTACATTATCCTGATAGGTACTTTAAAGTAGGTAAGCAGAATCGTACCTACATATACATATGTTGATATGAAAAATAAATCTTATTTTTATGCGCGGAATCTCCCCACGAGAGATAGCCCATATTTTTTGAAAAACCAAAAACAAACATAATATGTATCAATATTTACTTTAAGAGAATAAATATTAATAGCCAAATAATCAGTTTATTTAACATTTTTTTATGTCTTTTTAAATTGAAATTACAAAAACATTCGATTTCCCAAATAATATATTAGTGGAGTGCCCAGAGACTTTTACCTCGGAATTCAATTACTGTGAATGTATTAATGTGAAACCTTCTGTATTGTGTTTTATAGATAAAATAATAAAATGTTTACCCATTTTTTTCGTTGCTTTTTATTTTTTATTTTAGTAATTTTAGTAAATTCTTAATTATTTTCTTCTTAATTTTTTGATTTTTTTTAATTCTTTTTCAAAGTAAATTTATTGAAGTAAATATATCTAATGCATAAGCTATACCTATTCTGCTTATATTCTAATCATTGAAATTTTGATTGAAATCGAATTATACAGGGTGGCGCGACATATACGACGCGGTTTTTGCAAGGAGAACAAAAGTTTGTATTGAAGTGAAATTTTGTGAACTTATGTAAGTCAATTGAAAGCATTTTATTATATTTATATATTAAATTATGTAGAGTTCTACAGGGTGTCCCCAAAAAAAGTTACACATCAAAGTTATGTTTTTTGTAATGGAACACCCTATATATTAACTGATTTTTGGATTCTAGTAAAAAAATAAAGGTTTGTTTCATTAGAAAAGTATATGACTAAAATGTATAGTTTTTGAAATACATTCACCGGCACGAAAAATGGACACCTTAAAACTTTGATGTATTTTAAAGATTGACTTTTTAATATCTTTTTCTAAATTAAAAATGAAACTCCCCATCTGTTAATTATACGAGGGAAAACAAAATGTTGATATTTTGATGAAAGTTTGAAATACCCTGTGGAATATGGTAAAACCGCAAGAAATTTAAAAATAATTTTATCATCTAGATACATCCTTTCTCGATGGTTTGTTTTTTGGTTCATCTCATTAGCTTTATTTTTATTGGAAATTTATTCGCTTTTGAAAAAGGCACTAACTTTTTTTCGTAATTTTTACATTAAGACCATGCCTTTGCTTTTGGACCTAGTCAACACATCTAGTAAGTTATGGTCCCGAATAAGATTTCCTTCACTTAATCTTCTTCTTATAGTCCGTTAGTTAATATGTACGTTTCTTAAGTGAAATTCATTATCAATTTGAAAAGCTGGCAATCGGCGGTTCCTTAGCGATAAACTTACAATAAGTCGATCGTCTCGATTAGAAGTTCTCATACAAAGGTTCCTGGACGTCTAGATTGACGTCCTCATGGTTGTGGTCATCATTCAAAAACCACTTAGTATACTCTATGGTATTAAGGCATTTTTGAACCGAAATTTTATAGCAAATTCACTGAACTAAACAAATATAGATATATATTTGACTCATATATACATAGAAAACACATATTTTGTAAAAGGTTTGGAGTAAAAATCTCAAATAGGAATCCTGATACAGAGCTTTTGCGGAAAACGGAACCATCTTGTATGTATGCATTTGTATATGTGTGTTTATTTAAATACTAAAGTGAAAGCAACGAAATTAAATTGGTAAACTTTGTAATATATCTTATTAACAATACAATGCAAAAAGTTTTATAAAAATTCGTTCACAGTAAATTAATTCCGAGGTTTGTATCCCATAAGGGCTTAAAGCACTCCACTATATATCTACTGATTCTTAATCAGCTTGTAAAGATGAATTTTATTTTTTAAAAACTCTTTTCACATGCAAACGTTAGAAGAATAAAAATGTGACAATAATTCAAACGATTTAATTACATTAAAATGTTTTGTTAGTCGGTACTGTACCATAAATAATAAAATGCACTTGATCTTGATGAAAACCTAGTAAAGCAGAAAATTTGTCGTCCATTGTTGACTTGGAATAAAAATGCATTTCAAGGTTTTAACACGCCGAGATTACTCTGATGAAATATCTTCAGAACATAATAACAACAATGTTCACTGTTTATGTTTAATATAATTATGTATTTAGAATAATTTATTAACTATCACATTTAAGTATGTAATTCATTAATATTTGGGCGGAATATATTTAATTAATGGTATACTCTTTTATAAAAATTTAAATAGTTTTCTTTTTGTATACCAATGGGCTAATAATATTATCGCTTTTAGCACCTGTACATTTTTTTACATTTGTTGCTTTAAAAATAATCTTAAATGTTAATATTCCATGGGTATATTGATAAATGAGGTCTACATTATAAGAAAATTCATTTTCTACGAAAAATTGAAGGGATAGGTAAAAAATGGTATAATACAATTTGATAGACAATTAAATTGTGCATCTGATTCGCCTAAAATATACAAGGTGTTCCATTTAAATTAAATGGAACACAGTTATTGCCGTTTAAATCTATAAATTATTTAAAATCAATTTTTAGACACTCTGTATGAGGTAGTATTATTTTTTATTATTGCAACACAATAACTGCTCAATAAATAAACTTCAGTAAATATTTAGAAATAAAAACTTTGATAACCTTGGAGAAGTGGAGCCGAGAGTGGAGCCTTAAAATGTTTATGCAATTTCACAAAATTGAAAATATTTCAAAAACGGTAAGATTAAGTGTGATAAACCTTAATCAAATTTACCTTTATTTTAATCGTAGAAACTAAAAATGTAATAATACAGGGTGTTCCGTTTAAAAAAATGCAACTTTGATATTTTTTATTTATTTGGGCACTCTGTATCCGGTAAAAATATTTTTAAATTGTAGCTCTAATAGTCTTTCGACGAACCCAAAACTTTCAATTTGTAAAAATCTAATCGTTTAGCTACAATACTCCGTGTCGTATGTGGTGAACAACCCTGTATACCGAGTATTGAACATCTACTCAACTTGTAAGGGCAAGTGGCCATATCTGGATTGGATCGGGAATTGGATGTTTCCAGAGTCACAGATCCTTTCCACAGAAGAAGAAGAAGATCTACTCAACTTTTGTAATTTTTAACTATACAGGGTGTATAGTTCTAATCGAGACGATCGACTTATTGTAAGTTTATCGCTAAGGAGCCGCCGATTGCCAGCTTTTCAAATTGATAATGAATTTCACTTAAGAAACGTACATATTAACTAACGGACTATACGAAGAAGATTAAGTGAAGGAAATCTTATGCTTCGGGACCAGAACTTACTAGATGTGTTGACTAGGTCCAAAAGCAAAGGCATGGTCTTAATGTAAAAATTACGAAAAAAAGTTAGTGTCTTTTTCAAAAGCGAATATTTCCAACAAAAATAAAGCTAATGAGATGAACCAAAAATATCAATGTTAGTATAAATATTTTCCCACTCCACCGACGCTGACGACAGATTTTCTTTTCGTAAAATGGTCCCTCTAGTATTTATTACATTTTTTGTCTCTTGTAAAAACAAAACAAAATAAAAACACTAAATCACCACAATACACCAAAACACTTTTACTTTTACACTGGACGCGCGTTTCGCTAACCATGTGAGCATCATCAGCAGATGTGTATAAACTGTGAAACTGTAAAATTTTGATGATGCTAACATGGTTAGCGAAACGCGCGTCCAGTGTGAAAGTAAAAGTGTTTTGGTGTATTATGGTGATTTATTGTTTTTATTTTGCTGTGTAACACCAAAGGTTCCAACCCTCAACTGTAATCTTGTAAAAACGCCACATTGCATGGTTTTGTGAGAAAAATTTTTAGACAATTTATCTTTCCAAAGCAGACCTACGAAATATACAGGGAGTTCCAATACTCCGTGGTCATAGAACAACTACGTATTTTTTAATCAAAAATTAGCTAACCAAACCAAGCCAAACCCGAACGTTAATTTAAAATTTATTATATTTTTTAAGCTTTTTATGAAACTTATTGTCAAAAATATAATTTGTGATACCCTTGATATAAACAAGGGTGATACTAATATTCCACATTTTCGCCAATTAGATTATTACAGCATAATAGATTTTATGGAGGCGTATGTGTGTAACAGGGTGCTACAAATTCGAGGTACGAGCATTGGTATCTCGGAAACCGTAATAGATACGAAGATGGTTAAATTGGGGCAAAGATGCGACTTGAGTTGTTCACCGAGATGCCATCAAAAAAGTTTTAAAAATTTCAAGGATTGCTGAGTTTTTTGGAAAAAACGGATTTTTTGGAAAATCAATTTTATTTTTTCCTGTCGTTACTTTTTATAAAATCAAAAAACTAATTACAGCTTCTCATAGCCACTTTATTATTACTATTTACTATTTTTTATTTCAGGTTTTGAAAGAACTCGATCTCCTGAGTATAATGATATGCCACACTTGATACTTTTTTTTTTGTTTTGGGTACTTTAATAACAACAAAACTAGTTAATTATTATTTAAAATAATTTCAAGTACGACTCTGTTTTTTTAATTATTTAATCTGATTATATTCATCGCAACAATATTGTTCAGCGCTAATTAACATTCAATAAGGAAAATCGAGCCAATTCAAAGATTCAAATAAATAATATCCAGGTCAGCAATTTAAATATATTATTTTTAACTTTTTTTATTGTGAAATGGGAATCTCAGTGTACGATCTAATAATATTCATAATATTAATCGTAGTTGTTTAAATAAATCAACTTATAACAACTATAAACTAGTTTCGAATGCTCTACTTGTTCGAAAGGGTTATCACCCTTTTTAATGCACAAATTTATTTTTTGCTCAATCTTATTTATAGCTCTTTGAACATAACTTCTTGTTATAGTTCCGAATGCATTTTGTACTCTTTATTGTAAATGTTGAAATGTATTGATTTCACTTTTACAAATTACGCCCAGTAATGACCCTTTAGTTATTGCATTTGATTTTCAGTATTCAATGTTTTACCCCACGTCATTGTTAAGTTTGAAAACTTATCAACATTGTAACGATGAATAGATTGAATCTTAAAAAAAACAGAGCCGGACTTGAAATTAGTTTAAATAAATTATGTTCAAATCTCCGAAACAAAAAAAAAATATTAAGTGTGGCATATCATTGTACTCAGAAGAGCGAGTTCTTTCAAAATTTGAAATAAAAAATGCAGGTCCGTATTTATAAAAAATAAGTTGGCCACTGTATCTCACAAATTATCAGCTAATTTGAAAATCTAAAAATACTATCAGATAGCCCTAATAAAGTGTCAATGAGAATGTGCAATTCGTTTTTTGATTTCCTAAAAAGTAACGCCAGGAAAAAATAAAAATGATTTTCAAAAAAATCCGCTTTTTCCAAAAAACTCAGCAATCCTTGAAATTTTTAATTTTTTTTAATGGCATCTTGGTGAACATCCTAAAGCGCAACTTTGCCCTAATTTAACCGTGTTTGTATCTATTACGGTTACCGAGATACCAATGTCCGTACCTCGAATTTGCAGCACCCTGTATAGCTTGATGTGACAAAAACCTTAATTAGAAATTGGAAGTCAGCTTCGGAAAAATAACTTTTTTCGTCAAAAAGTATGCGCGATTGCGTTTTTTACAAGGGACAAAAAATGTAGTAAATACTAGAAGCACAATTTTACGAAAAAAACATCGGTCGTTGTTTGAGCTGGAAATATTTATACTAAAATTTATGTAGGGGTGGGGGTAGTTTTCACCCTTCCCGTACTTTTTCTTGATTTTTGTGAAAGTCAAATGTTAAAGCACTTTGCAAAATATAGACACCCAAAATCTCATTCAAATCGGAATAACGGTTTTTAAAATATTTGAAAAAAAATTGTTTATTTTTCTAAGTTTGATGCCCTCTAACGGACAAACGAAGCACTTTTGTATAGAGGTAAATTGTGTCCAATGAACTGATTTTGATTCCAAAAATACGTAGTAGTCTATGCCCACGAAATAATGGGACACCCTCTATATTCCTATTCCCTTACTAATTTTAAAATAAAATTGATCTAGTGTATCTAGTTTCCTCATATTTTTATTTCTATATCATGCAGTTAAGAAGAAAAAAATCAGCATTAAGCCTTACCAACACGTAACTTTTTACCTTCAGTCTTACCTAGTCAATCAAAATGTATGACGTAAAACATTGTATGTGGACAGAAAAACTGAAAAAAAAACTTCTTATTGTATGCACTCGTAGTATTATATACGAAAACTATCCATCAATTTTATAACTTTTCAGATATACCTTGTAACAAGTCATGGATCTTCGAAAGAGTGCCAGGATCGACTTTAATAGGCAACGACACAAAAATACTGCCAAACAACTTAACCAGAACCGCGTGTCAACAGGAATGCCTAAACGAAAAAAGCTTCCAATGCAAATCTATCAAATTTAAAATAAACTTTAGTTACAACGTCCCAGAAACAAACAGAAGTGTCGGTACTTGTGTTTTAAGTGATTCCGATAGACACTTAATGCCCAACTCCTATAGAGTATCGACTTTTGATGATGAATATTTCGAAAACCAATGTGCAAATTCAGGTATTGAATCAACAGGCAGATAACTAATGATTTTATAAAAAACTTATTATTGTTTCGTTTTAGATTATGGAACCAAAGATTATTGCGCTTATGAGGAATACGAAAACGTAATTTTAAGTCATGCAGACTTATTATATACGCAGAAAACCAAAGAGGAATGTCAAATACTCTGCGAGTCTTTCAATCGATTTAACTGTAGAGGCTTCAGCATTATCAGTGGCAAAACCAATAATGTTTGCTTGCTGCATAGTGAGGATAGTAAATTACATGGACCAAAGTTGTTGGAACCTTCATCAGATTCCAAATACTACGAGAAAGCTAGATGTCTAAACAGTAAGCCTAAGTTACATTATTTATAATAGTCTCTATTATTTTCTTCCTAGTCATCTATGTGCAATGCCCTTGAGTGTTTGTCATTAATAATAAAACTGTTACTTAGCGATATAAAGATATAAAATAAAAGACTAACGAAACCATTTATTCATTTATTTATGATAATAGACATTAATATAATTATTGTAGTTAATAATAAAATTCTTAGTAGCAAAAAAAATATAAAATATCATTGATTGAATAATAGCCTGAAGTAGTTTTCAGTACTTTCTGATAACTTTATATGGTTTGTTGTTATATTATTAATTTAGGTATACATTATGTGCCATTGGTTTTATAACTAAATAACCTGATTGTAGTAGAACATACTACATCTGGAGATATACAGGGTAGTCCAAACTGTATTCCGGAAACTTCGGCAGTTCAGCTGATAAAAATAAGTAAAAAAAATCGTATAAATGTATGTCCTAAAATGCTTAGTTTTGGAGATACAGGGTGTAGAAATTTCATTTTTATTTTCATTTTTTTCAATTAATTTCTGAAGTAACGTCAATATTTGAATGAAAATTGGTTTCTGGGAGTTTTTTGACATGAGAAATTTGATTTTGATGTCAATATGACTCCTATTTGTAGGGGGCGCCACTACATGTGTTTTAAATGTTTTGAAGGTTAAACTTATTGAGAGAAATTTTAATTATTGAAGGTTAACTTTTCGTCCGTACCTGTATAAAACTACTGAGTGAAAAAATATACATTTCCGTGATTTTTTACGTAAAAAATGTCGCTATGAGCAACCGTTCTTATGATATTTAGATTGGAAATAGTCAATACATGTCAGAATACAGTTATTGACTAAAAATAAACATGTTGAGTAGATAGTTATTTGAGTGAAAATGAAACTTTATCTAATGAACAGTTTCTAATGAACTTTTGGCACAAACACATTTCAAATTTATGATTTCAGTCTAAACATTATTTAGTCAACAAGTTTAATTTATGTCAGTGATGACATGTACTGATAATTTCGATTCCAAATATCTCGAGAACCATTACTCGTAGCGATTTTTCCCAAGAGACCTTTTTTACTTAAAAAACGTCGTAAATGTATATTTTCTTACTCACTAGTTTTATACAGGTACAGACGTAAAGTTATTACTTTTCAAACTAGTTAAAAAATATGTAGGGGGCGCCCTCTACAAGTAGGAGTCATGTTGATATCAAAATCAAATTTCTCATATCAAAACACTTCTAGACACCAATTTTCATCCAAATTTTGACGTTACTTCAGAAATTGTTTGGAAAAAATCGAAATAAAAAAGAAACTTCTACACCCTGTATCTCCGAAAGCAAACATTCTAGGACATACATTTATACGAACTTTTTTACTTATTTTTATCTGCAGAATATACTGCCGAAGTTTCCGGAAGTTCGGACCACTATGTATACAGAAGATTTTCAGATCAAAGTAAAATAATTTTTCCTTTGCTATTTTTTCTTTGGATCGTGATTTAATAGAAGAACAAAATGTATTAGACATATACAAAAAGGCGTATTTTTTTGTCTACAGAGCGTTCATTTTATCTCATTTTTGGGCTATATGACCATTTTTATAAGCATTTAAAAGAATAATTTAAATATTTATTAATTGAACTAAGGATATATTTAGAGAAATATAGGTATATTTATCTATTATAATAGGGTAGAATGAATAAATTAATTTTATTAAATAAATATATATACATTAATAAACTACTCGAAAAAAGTTAAGGATATTGTGTTTTCGCTAGGAAAGACAATCACAAAAATGTACATTTAGTTTTTGTTAAGAATAGAACTTGTTTGCGTGTTGATAAGCGGCAGTTTGCGATATTGTGATTATTCTGTCATCGATAATATGAACAGACGTCATTTAACAATAGAGGAAGCAAATCAAGCCATTGGGTTGGTTCTTGGCGATGCGCGACAGATCGATGTAGCTGATCGATTTAAAGTCACCTAAAGTGTAATTTCTAGACTTAAAAACCGATTTAATGAGACTGGATTTGTCATGGAGAGGCATAGGGAGGGTAGAACAAGGTCGACAAATGCTAGGGAGGACGGAAGGTTAATGAGAGGAGCTAGGATGGATCCTGCAAGAAACTACACGTTGCTCGGCCAGGACCTTTTGACTGCCAGCAGACTACGGATTACCCCTCGGACGGTTTTAAATCGATAAAAAAAGCAGGTTTACATTGCTATAGGCCTATAAGACACCCTCCGCTGCCCACAAGAGTCAGGTTGAGATAATAAAGCTCAACGTTTGCTCTGGTGTAATGAAAGAGTTAATTGGACTGATGAGTGGCATTCTGCGATGTTCGGCGATGAAAGCCGCTTTTGTCTTCGTACTGACAGACGTACAGTTCGTGTGTGGAAACGAAATACAAGATTTAACGACCGATATGTTCAAGAAGGGCATCCCTTTGGAGTTATAGGTGTAATGGTCTGGGGTAGAATTTTCTACGCAGGAGGGGGTTTTATAGAGCTATAGCAATGTAAACCTGCTTTTTTAATCGATTTAAGGCAGTCCAAGGGGTAATACGTACCCTGCTGGAACTAAAAGGTCCTGGCTGAGCAACGTGTAGTTTCTTGCAGGATCCATCCTAGCTCCTCTCATTAAGTTTCTGTCCTCCCTAGCATTTGTCGACCTTGGTCTACCCTCCCTATGCCTCTCCATGACAGATCCAGTCTCATTAAATCGGGTTTTAAGTCTAGAAATTACACTTTAGGTGACTTTAAATCGATCAGCCATATCGATCTGTCGTGAACCGCTAAGAGCAAACCAATGGCTTGATTTGCTTCCTCTACTGTTAAATGAGGTCTGTTCATATTATCGATGACAGAATAAACACAATATCGCAAACTACCGCCAAACAAATTCTATTCTAAACAAAAATTAAATGTATCCCCAGTCAAAATAAACAAAAAAATTACTTAAAAAAATTAATTTAACCCCCCAAATAACAATAATTCGCATAGAGCTGAAAATTGGTACAGGTCTTAAATACACTATTATAAATGATATCTGAAAAGTCCCCACCGCTCCCACGTCTGCTAAAAAAAATATTTAAGGTCAAAGGTCAAAATATGTTTTTTTTTGCTTTTTTCTCCTAAACGGTAAGCGCTATCGCAAAAGTAGACCATTAAATTTGCTACAATAATGGTTCCTATACTTTTTTTCTTACGAACCACCATTCCTGAGTTATGGCGATTTCAAAAGTTGAAATACTCGTATTTTTCATAATATGCACACATTTAATAATTCCGCACTTCCTGTGAGGTACCTAGTGTTGTACTTGGCGCGTTTTTTTAACGTGGCCTCTCCTGTAGGCCTAGTAGTAGGCCACGATCTTATACAATTAATTTTAAAAAACGGTGCTCTTGGTAATGATTATAGTCGAACGGATTATTGTTTGGTTTGGTTTGGTTTGGAGATAACTGATGCATATGTCATAGATGGATTTCTAAATATTCCGCAAGAAGATGAGAAAGAAGAAAGCGAAGAAGACATTACTGATGAAGTATCATTTGAAGATTACCACTCAGATTAAAATTCTCCCAAAATCAACAATAATCCGTTCGACTACAATCATTACCAAGAGTACCGTTTTTAAAAATTAATAGTATAATGTGTAAACTTAACCACAATAGATCGTGGACTAGGCCTACCGCGCCAAGAACTACACTAGGTGGTGCGGAAATATGTGCATACGGTAATGTAATGTAAAATGTGTGCATATTATGAAAAATACGAGTTTTTCAACTTTTGAAATCGCCATATCTCAGGAATGGTGGTTCGTAAAAAAAAATAGTATAAGAACCATTATTGTAGAAAATTTAATGGTCTACAACATTTGTTTAAAGTACTTTTGTGATAGCGTTTACCGTTTAGGAGAAAAAAGCAAAAAAAACATATTTTTGACTTTCGACCTTGAATATTTTTTTAGCAGACGTGGGAGGGGTGGGGATTTTTCAGATATCATTTATAATAGTGTATTTAAGACCTGTACCAATTTTCAGCTCTATGCGAATTATTGTTAATTGAAATGTCTATTTTGACTGGGGTAATAAAGCTTTTTTTATATTTTTTGCGTACAATTTTTTATGTTGAATAACAGTATTTTTTTAAACATAAACGATATAGGTATTAATAGCTAGAACACATTTCTTCCAAAAAATTTTCTTCCTAGCGAAAACACAATATCCTTAACTTTTTTCGATTGGTTTATTATTTTTTGTGAATAAAAAACAAATATTAACAATATTAAACCTTTTTTAATTTTAGTTAGTGTGTCATGTAGTGAAAGTTACATGACGATACGTTATCAGCCCGAACTAGAATTTCGAGGGAAATTATACATGCAAGGGAATTCGGAAAATCCGCAATGTTTTGTATGGGGCCAAGGAAAATTTAACACTATCACACTCAAACTACCTTTACTCACCAGCCAATGTGGTATAATTAAAGCTGACAGCCCTACTAACAGGTAGGTAACTGTAGGTACTTGTTATTTTTTCATAAAGATATTGAGGCCAAGGATGAAATAGTTCACGACGTTATCTATGAATTAGGCGTTACTTACTTAAAGGTCTATTACCTACGTTATGTGCGATGGTGTATGTTGTAATAATGAGTTTATCATAGATTTAAACACGCTGAACTAATATACAGTATAATCAAATTACACAAATACTTATAAGGACACAGAAATATATTAAAAGCTCTTAGACTTATTTATAGATACTAAGCTACCGGTATTTTTGAATTAAATAATATAAAATGAATAAAAATTGGGATTTCATTTTAAAACTCCTGATTTTTTGTAGTTTTCTAATTTAGGCCAGTGCAAATAATTTTGAATTTGCAAAAATTTTTAGAAAGCTGCGACCATTGAAATTAGTTAGCCTTAGTAACCCTTATTAACATACTAAAAGTCCCCATTTGTCCGATGTGTGCGTCTCAAAAAAAATCGGCCGCCATCTTGAATTTTGGTACTTTACAACCAATATGATTTAATCTGCTGGTCTATATTCTTGTGTCAGTATCAAATATATAAACAAGGGTATTACGTAATTTTTATTTTTTAAAAATTAACGCCTTTAACTTCAGAGCAAAAATTGATTATATTTACGCGATTAAGGGATGGGGTTTCCATAAGCGACATTGCAGATACATTAGGGATAAACAAAAAAACAGTGTTGTTGGCTAAATCCAAAAAAAAAAAATCAATATAATTCAAATATCATTATAGACCAGTAGTTCCATCTGGGACTACTAATTCTTGTACTAATTTTTTTTTTATCGCAATGGTACATAGTTTATTACATCCAGATTTACAATTACAGTAAATCATTTTCAATAGGTACAAATTCTGGTGCCACTGCGTTTGACATTGTTGTTGGAATAAGGTATCCGTTTTTTTAATACATTCACATTCTGTTGCCTCTTCTCCGTTATTTAGCTAATACTGCATTTATAAATAGGTCCTATAATAATGATTTTCAGCTGCGTTCGTTGTTGGAGGTAAAGTAGCTAAATCAAAATTTTTACTATTAGTACCTGACGAGATTAGATTTAAATTACCTCAACTGATCTAAATCTTTTGCTAGCCTATGTTGACCATATAATGAAAATAAGAGTGTATTTCCAGCTTCGACTAGCTCAGATTTTTGTGCTGCAGAATCTAAAAAACGGATGTAATTTGTCGCAGATGAGGATCTTTTTGCAACGTTTTAAAAGTCGCCAGTTTACATTACATTTTATTTTTTTCTTCCAAACTGTAGCCTAATTTTTCAAACTGTCACTGTATTTTTAAAAACAAGTTGTTTACAAAATGGTAACAATAAGACCTTTGTTTAAGTGCAAATAGCCCTGACCGGGACAAGGTGGAGACTGCTTTCGCACATTATTAGTACACATGTATTTAGTAAAGGATAGCTTTTTTCAATTTTTGTTAATTTTGAAATATTATTAACCCACCAATAAAAAATATTTCTTGAAAATGTTACAAGGATTGTATTCCAGTTGAATTGATGCTAAATATCCATGTTATTTGTTAATAAGCTTAAAAAATTAGTAATTTGCATTTCGGTGATTCCTTTTAAAAATTGCCCGATTTTCAAAATTTTTTTGTACGTCATTGCGTCAGGATAATAAATAAACTATTCTTTATTGATTCTAATAGAGTTTTTTTATTCTCTTTAATTTTTACCTCTTGAAGTTTTTCGCTATAACAAACCGTTTTCGAGTTATTTACATTTTTTCCCAAAAAGTACCAAAATTCAAGATGGCGGCCGATTTTTTTTGATGACGCACACATCGGATAAATGGGGACTTTTAGTAATGGGGACTGGGGTAATTGTAATTTTTATCATTTTATGAGTGCAATCTATAATTATTTTATAATGCAGATTCTATGGGGAAAATGGAGAGCTGGCCTCTGTGGAGCCGTCTCAGATACTAGCTTTTGTCAAACCTTGAGACTGTATATGATAATTTATAACTCGTTACATGACAACTCATGACACACAATAATAGGTCTGTGGGTAACGTGGGTGATTTACCACCCTCCCAAACATTTTACAATCTACAATTATACAACTTACTTAAATCGTTTAGTATCCGAATGAGATCCTCAAACACTTTTAATAAACTGGTTTGTGTGAACAAAAACCAACTAATTATTTCTTACCTATTTTCTTTATTTTTATAATAGTTTAAATTTTCTTTATAAATTCGGAAATGAAAGATACTCCTCAATTTTTTTCCAGGTTAATTTCTTGCATCTTCTTAAAAATCAAATATTTCCCATTCTCTAGAATGAAATACGAATATACAGGGTGGTCCGAACTGTATTCCGAAACTTCGGCAGCATATCTGCAGATAAAATAAGTAAAAAAAAAGTTCGTATAAAATGTATTCCAAATGCTTAGTTTCGAGATACAGGGTAAGAAGTTTTATTTTATTTCTGAAGTAATAATATTTGATGAAAATTGGTATCTGGGAGTTTTTGATTACGAGAAATTTGATTTTGATGTCAATATGACTACTACTAGTAGAGGCGCCACCCTACATATTTTTAACTGGTTTGAAGAGGCAATAACTTTTCGTCCGCACCCTGCATAAAACCACTGAGTAAAAAAATATACATTTACGACGTTTTTTACGCGAAAAAGGTCTCTTGGTAAAAATCGCTATGAGTAATGGTTTTCGAGATATTTGGAATCGAAGTTATCAATACCTGTCATCATTGACATAAATTTAACATGGTTGATTAAATAGTTATTAGACTGAAATCACCAACAAACATACAACAGTCAACAACGTCTGTGCAAAAAGATAGTTAACCAGGGATCAGAGGATATACCGGAAATAACTACAGAAGAAATCAGAAACTCCTTAAAAGAAATGAAAAATAACAAAGCCCCGGGCGAGGACGGCATAGTGTGAGGCTGTAAAACTCGGAGGAGGAACACTATTAAAATGGATTAAAGACTTATTTTATCTATGCCTTGAAAAAGGAATAATCCCGTCTCAATGGAACAACGCCATAACGATACTTCTCCATAAAAGGGCGATATCACCGAGCTTGAAAATTATAGACCGATAAGCCTTCTTTGTAACTTGTATAAGCTGTTTACCAAAATCATTGCCAAACGTCTCGAACGTAAACTAGATTTCTATCAACCAAGAGAACAGGCAGGCTTTAGGAAAGGTTATGGAACAAACGATCATCTCCAAGTAATTAAAGTCCTGATAGAAAAAAATCTGTGGAATACAACAGGCCCCTAGCATTGGTGTTCGTTGATTTCCAGAAAGCATTTGACAAAGTAGAATTAACATCAATAATAGCAGCATTGGAGCAGAGAAGAGTAGATTATAGGTATACAAGGCTTATAGAATACATATATAGTAATGCCACCACAACTGTAAAACTTCACGAAACAACAGATAAAATTGAGGTAGGCAGAAGAGTTCGACAAGGGGATACTATTTCGCCTAAACTTTTTACAGCTGTCCTTGAATACGCAATGAAATCACTCTCTTGGGACAATAGGGGCATGAATATCGATGGTGAAAGGTTGACACATCTCAGATTCGCAGATGACATCGTCCTTGTCTCAGATAACATCGGAGATTCAAAGCAGATGCTCGAAGAATTAGTGCAGGCCTCATTAAAAGTCGGTCTCCGGATAAATACGAGTAAAACGCAAATAATGACAAACCTAGTGCTGACACAGAACATCAGAATAGGTGACGCTGACATAAAAGAAATCATATATACAAATATCTCGGACACGAAATACAAATCGGAAAGAACAACCAAACACACGAGATACAACGCAGAATAGGTTTGGGTTAGGCTGCTTTTGGCAAACTGTGGGAGACCTTTAAAAGTGATATACCCATATGCTTGAAGAGGAAAGTTTATGAACAATGCGTCTTGCCGGTAATTACATATGGAGCGGAAACTCTTTAACGAAAAAGTCAGCAGAAAATTTAAGAGCAGCGCCCAGAGAGCCATGGAGAGAGCCATGCTTGGAAAAAAAGAGACAAAATTCCTAATAACACTATCAGACAAAAAACCAAAATTAAAGACATAGTGGAACACGTAACTCGAAATGAATGCGAGATGGCAGGTCATGTGGCGAGAACATTTAAAGACAGGTGGACTAGAAGATTGTTAGAATGGCGACCTCGAGCAGATAAACGTAGCAGAGGCAGACCACCGACACGCTGGACCGATGATGTAAAGAGGATTGCTGGAAATTGGATGATGACGGCCCAAAATCGAGAGACATGGAGAAATATGGACGAGGCCTACCTTCAGCAGTGGACAACGATGGTTACATGATGATGATGATGATGAGACTGAAATCATAAATTTGAAATGTTTTTGTGTCAAAAGTTCAACAGAAACTGTTTTATCATCATTTTTTGCAGAAAAATTTATGATTAATTTAAAAAAATAAAAATTTTCCAAATTTATTATTTTTCGTCAATAATGCCATGTATTGACTATTTCCATTCTAAATATCTTAAGAACGGTTCCTCGTAGCGATTTTTACAAAGCGATATTTTTTACGTAAAAAGCCACAGAGATGTATATTTTTTAACTGTTTTGAGTAGTGTATATTTAAAATGTATGGACGAAAAGTTATTACGCTTTAAACCAGTTAAAACATATGTGGGTCGCGCCCTCTACTAGTAGGAGTCATAGTGACATCAAAATCAAATTTCTCGTGTCAAAAAACTTCTAGACACCAATTTTAATCCAAATATTGATGCTAATTCAGAAATTATTTGGAAAAAATCGAAATAAAAATGAAACTTCTACACCCTGTATCTCCAAAACTAAGCATTTTAGGGCATACATTTATACGAACTTTTTCACTTATTTTTATCTGCAGAATATGCTGCCGAAGTTTCCGGAATACAATTCGGACCGCCCTGTATAATAAATAGAATGAAATGGTACATCATATTCTAACAAATTGTGTTAAAAACATGTTTTATAATTTTGTTCATTATTTTACGGCTTCTAACAAAAATAAAAGTAAAAATTTTATAATGATATATATTACTTTTTTATTTTAGAACTCTATTGGCTGGGACATTAGTGATACAATACAACGCACTTATACAGACACGCTCGGACAGAATAATAAAAGTTGGGTGCATCTTTGGAAACGAATCTAAAGTTCTAATTGGTACAGGAGTTAAAATTTCATCGTAAGTTAACAAAATAGCTTCAATTAATAATACAATATATTTATAAGTTCATACAATACCTATTCCTTTTGAGTCGCGGTCATTACGCTTTCTCTGTTAATGTGTCCTAAACAGGGTAATTCACTATTCCGAAAAGTTCAACGAAAGAGTAAAAAAACAGGTCATTTAAAAGACAAGAAATGTTAGTATAAAATTAAAAAATAAGTTCCCTGTGTTAAATCTCCATGTATATTTAAAAGTATTCTTAAAATAATAAAGGACAATTATTGACTCTCTTTCTTTGGCACCCGTTTTTTAAATACTGGAGTAATACTCTAAAACAGAAAAACTTTATTTTGAAGCTTTTATGATAAAAATAATATGGATATGTATTGATTCTTTACAATTCCTGTCTATGAGACACCTTTATTTTTTGTACTTAGTTACATATTAGAACGAAACAAAGTGCTCAGACTTAACACTTTTTAGATCCCTTCCTAATAAAGGCAGTACACTGTTAAACACTGCATCAAACGAAACTGTAGCTCCGGTAGTAGAGATGAAAGTCGTTGATTTGAGGTCCCAAGAAGAAACCATTGACTCGCAAATAGGACAAGAATTACAAATGATTATTGAACTTTAAAGAAAAACAAGTAAGTAAGGTTGTTTTTGTTTCTAAAAAAATACCATCATGAGATGTCTGTGCTTTTAGATACATATGATCTCTGGGCTAGTCATCTTATAGCAATGACTGAAAAAGGAGATGAATCTATATTTCTATTAGACGATCGAGGCTGTCCGCCAAACCTTAATATTTTTCCAGCTTTAAAAAGAAAACCACAAATGACACCTTTCAAAAATTAACTGCGATTTTTCAAGCCTTTAAATTCGCATCTTCGCCAGTAGTGAGATTTAGTGTAATTATACAATTTTGTACTGAGGGGTGCAATCCAGTAAGAGAACATAAATAAATTCTATTAAATTGACGAGAATCATAATATTCTCTATATTTTTATAACCAGGGAAAATAACATAGAATCATATGGCCGACGAAAAAGGGCAATTTTAACTCCAGTTCTAGAAACTATTAATGGAAGTACTACAATCAGGTCAAATGGCATCAAAAATAAAACATATTATAATAATTACAATAGCAAATCATCTGTAACAAATCAAATGCCTCTTGAATATATTATGGTTGTCAGAAACCCAAACTCATATTCAGACAGACTAATTGTTGGTGATAGAGATACTAAAATATTAGTTGCAGGTTACAGTGAGTATTCTATTAAATCTAAAACCGAATTTAGTATCACATCTATACATTCTAGATTACAAAACTGATGAAGTCTGTATGGATTATTCGTTAGTAATTGGCTTAATTATTACATGGATTATTACAACTTATTTTTACCATTTGCTGTATTGTCCTAGTCCGAAGATACAAGAAGTATTATGAAGAACAGTATGCTAGAGCCTCGATGGAAGAATTACACAAGAATTTTGGCATTGGATTCAGTAATCTCGAAAACAGAAGAGTACATTGGGCTGATAATGGTGACAATATAATGTAGTTTAAATAAAATTTTTCTAAAATTAACATTTATTTATTCCTTACTGTACATAAAAATAAACTTTTAGAAATGTTTATGTTACATCAGAACTGTCGTATTGTGATTTCTTTAATTCTTTCGTTAAATCAATTTGTTTCTGTAGGTTGTACAAGTTTTCAGCCTTTCTACGCTGTCTTCTTTCGATATCATTCAAAACGCCTTGCGCAATTGTTCCCCATGTAAAATATGTATTTTGGTAAAAGATAAAGTAAATTGAATGAAAGAAACTCACCGATCACTGTATTGTTTATAGTGAACATAACTAACTATACCGACAGCAAATGCTACAGATCCTGTGAGGGTTATTTTGGATGCTAACGACATTTCACACCGATAAAATAATTAAATTCTAGTAAAAGAAAACAAGAAAAAATTAGTAAAACGTTGAAATCGATTTCAAAAAGATAGGTTAGGTTAAATCACTTGATTGTCAAAGTTAGAGAGGAGCAACAGTATCGATATTATGTTACGAAAAAAATCGATCTATAGTGAAATAAATTAGATGAATTCCTTACAACATTTTCAATATGCATTTATCAAATTTCTAGTAAGAGATAAAATTATCATAATAAAATAACACCCATATATAAATAAAATAATTTCCCAGTCTATAAATTCTAATAAAATTTTAATTAAAAACCCATTTTACCATCAAACAGTTTATTTCCCAGTATTTACCCTAAAATCTAATTACAACCAAATTTGCCAACGTTTTGAAAAATTACAGATTAGACGATTCAAGGTACTGCATTACAAGTGGTTATAATAGGAATTATGTTCAAATTGATGAAACATATAACAGACGTTTTCCATCGACAGATATATCTAGGCGAAGTATTTAAAATAATGTCATACAGTTCTGCAAACTCGGCGGGTACTCCCCGGCAGGGCCGGACGCTTGGATTTGTTGAGAGGACTGTACGGCCGCCATTGCCATAGAAACTGGTAGAGGGCAGAAATGTACACAAAAATTAGAAAATAAAATAGAAAATATCCAATAGTGTTTATTTTCTTTTAGCCGACCCGCCACCAACAGGCTATTAAGATCGGCAAAAAAGGTTTTTTAATTTCACTCAAAATTAGCTATTTGGGTCATAATGACCTAAATACAAAATATTTTCTTGTTTCCATTATGGTGTCTGTCTGTAACACGATAACTCAAAACCGCTAAACCGATTATAACGTAGTAAATTTGGCACACTAACTAAATACTGTGGCACCCGAGAATCTGGCAATTTGTTTTTGGTGGGGGTGTGGGGTTGGTAAGAAGGTATGGGAGGGGGTTAAAAAATTTTGAAAAATCGTAACTCCAAAATGTCAGCCAGCGAAACGCGGTTTCAATTTAAAATTAGGAATAATATTTGCAACAAAATTTGTAATAACATCAAAATTCAGTCAAAGCCTGCACTTTGAGATATTCCTTGTTTCCGTAGTCCGTTTTGAGAAAACTGTGTGGAGAACTCCCATCGGACGCGACCTCAGGTGGCGGATAGGGGAAATAATCGCGGACCAAAATGGGAAAAATTCCTTTACTTTGAAACTAAAAGAACTGTTTACCAACTTTTTATTAACATATATTTTAGTATGGCGGCTATTAGACGCGCCTCCTGGCGCCAATTTTTTTTATTTTCCTGGTGTTGTGATATAGTCTGTGAAACGAATAACTTTGAATTTGACAGTTCCCGTGGGCTTTTGTAGTGTTAATTTTTTCTGATAATATATGTACTTGATGTGTGCTATACGTCGATAACGGTTTTGTACCCTTTATTAACATTTGAATAATGTTTTCTCGTAATTAATTAGTATAAGGATGCCACCGCCTGGCCAAATCTCATAGGCGTAGTCAAAAACATTTATCAAAAAATATAAATATCCCTTCAACCAGCTAAGTTAAGAAAATATGTGCCACGGCACCGTTTGGTGCCATGGTAAAAATTTTGTTCTCGGGTGTTATTTTCTGTAATTGTCATTGCAGTAGTCATTGCATTTTTCTTTGTTGTCTGATATTTAGAAATGTGAAAATCTGATGACATTTTACTTTGGACAATTATGACATTTCGTTTAGGACTTTCCTTTTCTATTTCACGAAAGTAAAAGAGTTACCTATCTGATTCGTTCAGGCACACAATTTAAAGAATATCAGTAACTTTTTTTTGATAGAGGGATTTTATATTTGCCATGTTGGTAAAAAAAAATAGCACAAAATTCAAAAATTATTCATTTTATAGACTATAATCATTTACTTAATAACAAACCAACCACTACTAAATAAACTCAGTACCAAATAAACTTTTAGTCACGTGATTAAGTTTTGACCTGCACAGTGTTGCCCACTTTTATTTCTTTTAATCAAAATATTTTAGGAAACAAAATAAATTAATTATAAATATATATAAACAGTTATTATTTACATCAATAAAATCCCACCTCTTAACAGCACTAATTGACATAAAGGGCTATTACTACCTCTTTCTCCGTTACAAAAATATTCCAATAAAATTGCAATAAGTTTTACGGCTATTAAGTTATTTTGTACACTTCGCATTAAAAGAGCAAGGTCTGCTATTAAATATTTTGAAGCTTAAAGTATCACAAACACTATTTATTTGAATCCAAAACTCGCTGTAATAAAACTAAAGTGTCAAAACAAAATGACAATGTCAGGAAATAAGTAATAAATCTGAATTTCAACGCGAAATTTAAATTCCAGTTAAGTTAGCGCGCGGCGAGGAATATGTCCATGGTTGGCAACAATGAATTTAAAAGTCGATTACTTAACTAAAGTTTAATTACACTACCATACAGAGAAGACCAGGGCTACTAGTAACATAGCAAATTGCCGGACGAATTTACGCTCACCCGATTGCGTTCGTACTCGTGATTCACTGCCGGCTAGTCGGCTGGTCAGGCAGTACGCAGCTGCAGTTGTGCTTGCACGGGTCGGTCGTGACAGACTAGGAATACGACGCGAGGAGCGCTTTAGACGATATTTTCATTTTATGCTTCACCACCTCTTAAGGTAACATTTAAATAAAATAATTTAAATATTTATTATTTGATTGTGCTTTACAAGTCCAAACTAAAAATAAATAAATTCTGAAAACCCAAAAAACTAAAATTATTACTAAATAAAAAAAAGTTATAATAAGTGTTCTCAGCTAGACAGAAGCCTAGGCGGTCGTAAAATCCCTGTCTGACACTGGCTAACATATTAGGGCATAGTTTGGAAAGCCTCACCTATTTTTACTTGAAGCTCATCCGGATTATTAGTCCTATTATGACCATAACACTTTGGATTTCCATATAACCCCACAAAAGAAATCATTGGGAGAAAGATCTGTTGATCTAGCGGGCCACAAAATAGTTCCATATCCACTAATTAAACGGAAAAGTATTGTTCAAATATTCTTGAACAATACGGGCATTGTGGACAGGGCAACCACCTCAGCAATTTGATTACTTTAAAACGTGGGATTTTGATACGCGGTAGCACAAATGAACACTTGCTTTAACACCTGTTCTTCATTAATCAACACATCAGGCTTTTGTGTTTTTGTGGGACACGCACCCATGTGTTGCAAAATTATTAACAACTCTTGACATAGTAGGTAAAGATGGAATTAGTCTGTTTACAAAAGTTTGAGGAAAAATTGTTTGTATATCCCGATAAGACCTATTTTGAAATACCATTTTATAATTTGAATTTTCTCACGAACTTAAACATCCATTATTTTACCTAAAAAATAAATTTTAATGAGAATCGTCATGCGAGAATCTGCGTATCTGTTTTGGCTACGTTACTAAATAAATACAAATTGGGAAACATTCTTTATCACATATCACCTATTTTATTTTATCGCATTTTTCGCCTGCTTTTTATCCAGTGGACGGGTATACGCTAATTCGTCCGGTTCTGCCTATGTTACTACCACGGTGGTCCGGTCTGTATAAATTTCTTTCTGGAAGGGGTAATTACCCCCATTATCTCGTATATTTAAAGAATTCGGTTTCTACAGTCTTTTATTATCGCGAATAATATTTACAGACAAAACGATTAAAAAAATAGTCTTACCGCAGTGTTGTGATGAAAACGAGGATCCAACATCATTGCCGCCGCTACTGCGGCCGCCGTAGACGTAGCGGTGGAATGATTGGACCTGGCCAGCATCACGTGACTATTGTTATGCCCTGTCGAACTCCCGCCAGCCCGGGGAGTATGCGTAGCCGCGGCTGCGGCCGCCGACGAGGCCAGCAATTGGTTATGAATGTTGTGGGCGTGGGTATGGGCGTGATGAAAGTCAGCGGCGTGCTCCGCGAAATGGTGCGGGTAAGCAGCTGCGTTTATAGCTGAAAGCAAATGACATTTGAGCAATTCATAACTCCTTTTCTGTGTCCTATATGGTAATATTAAAAAGCGACAAAGTCGAGACATACCAGCTGGGGTGGGATGATTTTGATGATTTAATAGCAACTCTTGAATTTCTGGACCGCCCATTGGTTGGTTTACGTTGCTAGATGTGGTCGTAGTTCCGGAACTGGATTGGGAAAAGTTAACTGGGTTGTTGTTTGTCGAGTTGGAATTTGAAGTGGCGGCTGGACCACTCTCTGGACCTGACTGCGAAATTATTAAAAAATTTCAAAACTATACAAACATTACCTATACAAAAAAAAAGAAAAAAAAATTCAAATATCAAATACATCTTAGAAGTAAAATACGCTGCTGTAGTTGAAGTAACGCCAAATAAGGGTACCATATCTTTTCTTACTTTATAAATAGGATTTTTAAAAGTCACAATATATTAAATAATAAAGAAGTTACAGCGATTTATAAAAGATGCATATTTCTTCTAGAATTATATGATATCTTAATTATTTAGATTGTTTTTAATCTAGGCGACACAAGACACAAACTTATCGATGTTAATATAAATTATACTATTTACTTATTATTATCATTATTAAAATAATCACTCTTCTGAATATACATATATAGAACCAAATACTTTTGTATTTATATTTTTTAGCAAATATGAATTTCAGAATTGAAGATAAACACCTAGTAGTTTTTTATTTTTATTTAATTAATTTATTATTATTTAGTATACAAAAATATACGTCCCGAGAACATATTTATTATGTTTCGTCAGAAGTCATTAAACTTCAGTTTTTAAATTCTCAACTTTAAATACATTTTTTTTATTAATTTCTAATTTTCCTACATTATTATTCTAACAGTTGATGTTTACTATGTTCAGTTCAATTAAATATTTAAAAAAAGTTCTTAAAGCTAATACCTGTGACTTAGGCCTGGATGATGAAGATGAACTAGATCCATTTCTTAAAGGTCTAGCCTTATATGGTACCTGCAAAAAATATTTTTCAAATATAACATATGCCGTATGATCGAAAAAAAAAACAGCGTCAAAGACGGCTGGGAATGGCAATGGACGAAAATCTCTAGACTTCATTTACTAAAAATTGACATACAACTGGTCAAAATTGACACTCATTAGAGAAAGATTAAAAAAGAATAGACCATTTTTTCCAGACACACAAATCTATTTAAAAAAAATCTTTTTTCTCGCATTTTATTCACTTCAATGATTTAAAATCATTTTTACTCAATATAAAAATAAATTACAACCTTCTTAAGGCCAACTGGAAGTAACCGCCATTAAAAGTAAAGTATGGATCATGTAAATGACGTCTTTGACGCCGTTTTTTTTCGATTGTATGGTATTATATATGTTACGGCTAAAGTGGCTACTTGGCTAGCTACTATACTTCTCAATCTAGCTAGCTATTTTGCAAACAAACACCTAACCCACAAAATAACAGCGCTTTTTGCAAAATAGCTGGCCAGTTTGAAAACTAGCCAAGTATCTATTTTAGCCTTAGCATATACACTTGATATGTTTTGAATATGAAAATTATATTAGACTAGTTTATAACTATTGGCCTTAACAAAAAAGATCACAAAATCAAATTGAACTATTTTTAAAAACTTAAGAAGCAATTTTCACCAAACAGAAATAAAAATTGTTCAAGTGCGAGTCGGACTCGCGCACGAAGGGTTCCGTACCATTCATTATCTATACAACATTAAACACAAAATTATTATAAATTTTTTTTCCGATTTAGCTCAAATTTTGAATGCGCGTTTAAGTAATTTAAAAAAAAAGTGAAGAAACACATTACTAAAAATTGTATTAATCAATAATAAATATGTAAAAAGTAAAAATAAATATGTAAAAATATGTAAAAATTAAAAAAAAAACGACTAAAAAAATCGCCTTGACTAGGATTCGAACCTGCCTTACTACGGCTCCAACGTCATAGCAGCGTAAAGTCCTAACGCTTTAACCACGCGGCCACCGAGGACTTGAAAGATTCTATGTAAAATTCTTACTTCAAAGATAATGTTTAGTGAAAGTACTTTTTTATTTATAAACATTTATTTAGTTCTGTTTTTAGTATTTGTTCTTATAGCGGCAACATAGATACATTATCTGTAAAAATATCAACTGTCTAGCTATAACGGTTCATAAGATAGACCTTTGTGACAGACGGACGGACAGCGAAGTCTTAAGGTGAGTTTACATGCATCCGTAATGCGTCGTCCGTCGTTCCGTTAGTCCAATCATATTCAAGTATGAGCAGTCATTTTTGAAATAAACCAATAAAATTACATAAAATCAATGACGGATGACGCATTACGGATGCATGTACACCCACACGCAGCCCGCGGTTATATCGGACGAGCGTCCGTGCGTTTTTTAAACGTGTGAGCTCTGACGCAATTTATTCGCACGACTATTTTATTTTAGCGGTTACATTAGATGCGCGTTCATGGTGTCCTGTGTGTCGAGTTTGTCAAAACGGACGCCACTACTTTGATGCTGTCTGAGGATTTAATGTTAAAATAACTACTTATGAACAGGAGAAAATGTTAGGTAAATGATTTATGAGAAGAAAACGAATATGTAAAATATTTGGTGAATTAAAACAACAACCGGTCAAATTTTTTGAAAATTTTAGAATGTTTCCAGCATCATTAATATATCTAAAATAAAAATAAACCTGGTATTCATAAATATTCAAATTTTTCGGGAATGCGGGAAGAGATATAAAAATTCGAACGCTCGGACGTGCACGTATTAAAAAAACAAACCAGTTTGTTTTTATCCGACCAACGGAAATTGATGTATATGCACGGACGCGCAAACTCCGATGCAATGTAACCGCCTGCGTAAATACTATTTGTTTGTTTTTTGCTGCGTGCACGTCCGAGTACGTACGACCAAAAAAACGCACGGATACGCATCCAATGTAACCACGGGCTTAGTAATAGGGTTCCCGTTTTTACCCTTTGGGTACGGTACCCTAAAAAAACTTGATATTTACGATAAATTATTAAAAACTTCTAGTTTACCTTTGCCGAAGCATTTTCTCCATGATGCCTGGTAAAATGCTCTTTCAACTTATCCCTTCTGGAACTGGCGTAATCACAGCTAGAACATTTGAAAGGTTTCTCTTCCAAATGAATTCTCTCGTGTCTGACTAGATGAGACTTTTCCATAAAACCTCTGCCACATACAGAACAGGCGTGTGGTCTCGCTCCTCCCGGATTACTGCCACTATTGTGCGTTTTCGAGTGCAGACTTAGTTGACTTTTCTTGGAGGTGGAGTATTTGCAGTGGGGGTAGGAGCATCTGTATACTTCACCTATCACCCAATTGTAGTTATTATACATCATTTTCAATAACGTAAACTATTTTGATTAGTATTTGTTATACAGGGTTGTTCACCACATACGACACCGAGTATTGTAGCTAAACGATTAGATTTTTACAAATTGTAAGTTTTGGGTTCGTTGAAGGACTATTTGAGCCACAATTTAAAAATAATTTTACAAGATACAGAGTGTCCCAAATAAGTACAAACTATTATAGTTGTATTTTTTTAAATGGAACACCCTGTATATTATTTTATTTTTAGATTCTACGATTAAAATAAAGGTAAATTTGATTGAGGTTTATCACACTTAAACCTTACCGTTTTTGAAATATTTTCAGTTTTATGAAATTGCAGTAAAAATTTTAAGGCTTCATTTCTCCAAGGGTATCAAAGTTTTTATTACTAAATATTTACTGAAGATTATTTATTGATCAGATATTGTGTTGCGATACTAAAATTTATACTACCTTATACAGGGTGTCCAAAAATGTACATATATTAAATAATTACTAGCTTTAACCGGCAAGAACCTGTTTAATTTAAATGGAACACTCTGTATATTTTACGTAAATCAAATGCACAATTTAATTGTCTATCAAATTGAATTAAACCATTTTTTACCTATCTCTTCAAGTTTTCGTAGAAAATGCATTTTCTTATAATTTAGACCTCATTTATCACTATACCCATGGAATATTGACATTTTAATTTTTTTAAGCAACATGTGTACAAAATGTTGCTTTGTTAGTGGTAAAGAAATAATATTGCAAAATTTTGTTTACAAAACAAACTATTTAAATATTAAACAAAGTACAAAAAGCAAAAATAAGGCCTAATCCCTACATATGCTTATTCTTTCATATTATACAAACCCTACCAAGCCTTGAGCTCCATCTACGGTAACGTAGATGAAGCAAGCATATTTAAATATTTGTTAAAAAAGTATACCAATTAAATATACTACCATTATTTCCGCCGAAAGATTATTCAATCACATAACTTAATTGTTTTAATTATTGCCGATTAAATCTAGTAATTATTTAATATACATTTTTTAACACTCTGTATAAGGTAGGATTTTGTTTATTATTGCAACACAATATCTGAACAATAAGTAAACTTCGGTAAATAATTAGTATTACAAACTTTGATTCCTTTAGAGAAATGAAGCCTTACCAAATGTTAAGGCTTCATTTCTACAAAATATTTTTACAAGATACGAAGTGAATATACAACCCTCTGTATATTTTACGAGAATCAGATGCACAATTTAAGTGTCTATCAAATTGTATTATATCATCTCTATGATAAATGAGGTCTAAATTATAAGAAAATGCATTTTCTACAACTTGAAGAACTAGGTAAAAATTGAGCCTCTAATTCTCGTAAAATATACAGGGTGTTCCATTTAAATTAAACAAGTTATTGCTGTTTAAAGCTAGTAATTATCAAATATCAATTTTTAGAGACTCTGTATAGGCTTGGTGCATTCTCGGCCGGTGCTGCCACCGCCCGAGAATATCGTAAATAACGAACAGATACAAATACAAGGGTTTAAATGACGAGTAAACGAAAAAATTAGTATACAGAGTGGCCAGGACAATTTTTTTTTCAGAAAATCCAAAAACACGTCAATTTTGTTTGTGAGGGGGACAACTTTTGCCCCAAAAATGATTGCAAAATCTTCAACCCTCTAAGCGGGGGTGTCATCCCCCAACTTTTTTCAAATGGGAAGGGGGTCAAGTGGTGCTGCAATGAAAAGAGCTTTCGATTCTCTATATTTCCCCGCTTCGTTTTTGAAAATCGGTCGAGTCGTTGAGAAAATATGAAGGATTGAAATTTGAAAAGTTTATTAAAACATTTATCAGAGTAAATGACAAGGATAAATTCCTTCGACCAATTTGCTGTTTTTTCTTATTATTTCTAGATGTTTCCGCATTTTTTCACTTGCCACAAGGTTGAACGATCAGATGCGGTAGTTGCTAGATAGCTGTTCTGTGACTTCTGCGTTGAAGTTCTTCTCAATATCGTTAAACTTTTTAACAATTGAGGAGTTTTCTGCAAAAATCCCATTTGTCATTAATTGCAACTTTCGAGAAAAGTAAAAAAATGTTTTTTAATTGGATGGAAGTTTGATTACAAAAATTTTAATAATAGTAGTTGATCAGTTTGATAATTAGGCACATTTCGCAATATAAATAATACTTTTTTTCTTTCGGTTTTATTAATGGGGTCATTTTTAATTTGATATATGGGGGTTTTGCAGACAATTTTTATATATTAAAAAAAGATATTTTTAAATATGAAACTAAAACATTTTTGTTAAATGATTTTTTCAAAAGATCATTTTTATTCAAAACATGTATGTAGGTACAATAAAATTAATAATTAATCTTCATCACTCATAGCGCCTACTGATATCATGCTCATCTAAATCCGTAATCCGCTTGGACGGACAAGATGATTCCGTGAATAGTCTGTTATAAGAGTTTTTGACCTCGGTTTGATTAAAATATTCAGTTAAATCTTATGGGTTTTCATTTTTTCGCTGTGGAATATCTAAACGTTTATTATTGAAGGATTTAAATTCAAATTCTTTGGGTATACCACGTTTATCTTTTATAAGGCATTTTTCCCAGTTATCTGTATAATTCTGTCGTACCAAAACAACCCCAGATTCACTGGTGGATGAGCAGACCTAAGGAAAAATTCCGATAATTTCGATAATAAGAGCTCATAGTTTCCCGTAAAAACAACGTAAGTCAATGACATCTGTGGTTTTTCGTGAAAACGCACCTTGATATATGGGATTTATGCAGAATCAGCGATATTTTTGTCGCTTATATCTTGGACTACTATCATTTTTGCGGAATTATTTCACGCAAGGGATGTAGTTAAATACTCCATCAATTTATAGATGACATAAGTACATTTTGGAAAAAAATTGACAAATGGGGTTTTTGCAAAAAACGCCTCAATTATGGTGTACTCACTTGCAGAAAAAGTTGAAATAATCGAACTTTATTTTAAAAATTATGAATGTGTCAATCGGTTTGCGCAGATATTCAATGAACGCCATCCAAACACCTTTATGGCAAAATTGTTCGCGAGCTAGTAGCAAAATTTCGCGAAACTGGTTCCGTTATGAATAAAAAGAGGCAGAGGGAAAATTTTGTAGTAAATGAAGCTATGGAGGTATTCGTATTGGGCCAAGTTGCCATGGATAGTACGCTGAGTACAAGAAAATTAGCCAATGAGACCGGCGTGAATTGTACAATGTACAAGTATCCAAAGGATATTAAATAAAACACAAGTTCCACCCGTATAAAATTCAGTTGGTACAAGAACTCAACGAAGACGATTTTGATCGTCGCGGGCCGGTATTTTTGTAAAAATTTTTTTTTTCTGGTATTTTTGTAAATTCTATTGTGGGTCAGGTTAACGATATTGAGACCGCACCTGATCGTTCAACCTTGTGGCAAGTGAAAAAATGCGTAAATATCTAGAAATAATAAGAAAAAACAGCAAATTGGTCGAAGGAATTTATCATTATCATTTACTCTGATAAATGTTTAAATAAACTTTTCAAATTTCAATCCTTCATATTTTCTCAAAGACTCGACCGATTTTCAAAAACGAAGCGGGGAAATATAGAGAATAGAAAACTCTGTTCATTGCGGCGCCACTTGACCCCCCTTCGCATTTGAAAAAAGTTGGGGGATGACACCCCCGTTTAGAGGGTTGAAGATTTTGCAATCATTTTTGGGGCAAAAGTTTCCACCTCACAAACAAAATTGACGTGTTTTTGGATTTTTTGAAAAAAAAAAAAATATCCTGGCCGTTATGCCTTGCGGAACGTTTTCGATGAGCCACCCTGTATAATTATTCTAAAAGTTTTAGAAAGTATAAGTATTGGTGGAAATTCTAAAGAAAAAAAAAGAAAAAGGTAAATAATATTTTCATATCTTACTTATATCAGAATTTTCATATCTATCTTATATCAGAAGGTCTAACTTGCATTATAATTTATTATTCCAGTTAAAAAAAATTGGCGCCGGGAGGTACGTATAGCCGCCCATACTAAAATATGTTAATATCTCGAAAACTGCAACTTTGACTGATTTTGATGTTATTACAAATTTTGTTGCAAATATTATTTCTAATCTTAATTTGAAAACCGCGTTTCGCTAGCTACTGTAATTTTGGAGTTACGATTTTTTTAAATTTTTAACCCCCTCCCATATCCCCTTACCAACCCCCCACACCCACCAAAATCTAATGGCCAGATTCTCGGGTGCCACAGTATTTTTGTGCCAAATTTGGTTAAAATCGGTTCAGCGGTTTTTGAGTTATCATGTTACAGACGGCAGACAGACAGACAGACAGACACACAGACACCATGAAAACATTTTGTATTTAGGTCATTTATGACCCAAATAACTCATTTTGAGTGAAATTAAAAAAACTTTTTTTTTGCCGATCTGAATAATCTGGTCGGCTAAAAAATTAGATAAGTTCAACTATGGTAGCGAGCATATAGTAGTAAAAAATATTAGAGTTGTATTTTTTACTTACATATTTGGGATACTTTGTATCTTGTAAAAAAAATTTGCAAAAATCTAATCGTTTACCTACAATGCTCCGTGTCGTATGTGGTGAACAGCCCTGTATAGGGTTATTCACCTCATTCACCATGTGACATTCATTGTAGCCAAATGATTAGATTTTTAGAAACTGTGAGTAATGGGATCGTTGGAGACTACTAAAGCTACAATTTAAAATTATTTTCAAAAGGTACAGAGTGTCCCTAATAAATAAAAAATAACAAAGTTGTATTTTCTTAATTAAACACTATATTATTACATTTTTAGTTTCTACGATTAAAATAAAGGTAAATTTCATTAAGGTTTACCGCACTTTAATCTTACTCTTTTTGAAATATTTACGATTTTGTGAAATCATCTTTCTATGAGTATTTAAGTTTTTAAAACCTAGTATTGTACAGAAGCTTTTCGATTTACTAAATTTTATGTGCATCTGATAACAACACCCTGTATAATTTTACGAGTTAAACAAGTTAAACATTTTACTTGTTTAGTTTAACTTTATGAGTTAAACAAGTTATTGACGTTTAAAGCTAGTAATTATTACTAAATATACATTTTTAGACACTCTGTATAAGGTAGTTTTATTTTTATTATTGTAACACAAAATGTAGTAAATAGAAAAACTTCAGTACAATAGTTGGTTTAAAAAAAAAAAATAAATAAAATACAAAATATAAATATTTCAAAAGCGATAACATTAAGTGCAGTAAATCTTAATCAAATTTACCTTTATTTTAATTGTAGAAACAGAAAATGAACTAATCTACAGGGTGTTCCATTTAAAAAAATACAACTTTGATATTTTTTATCTATTTGGGACACTCTGAACCTTTTGAAAATAATTTTAAATTGTAGCTTTAGTAGTACCCCAACGATCCCATCATACACAATTTCTAAAAATCTAATAGTGTGTCTACAATAGTCTGTGTCAAATGACATGAATATCCCTGTATATGTCAAAGACAGGGCCTATTTTTCATCTGGTCGGGCCCTAAGGCCCAAGCAAAAATTCGGGCCCTCTTTTCCAATAAAATTCAAAAATTCTGTTGTTAGTTTGAGTTAAAAAAATAAAACAATTATTTTTATTTTTATTTTTTTAATAATTTTAAAAAATAAACATTATTATATTCAACAAAATAAATAATGAAAAAAAAATATATCAATCTAAAGCTTATTTTATTTAATTCTATTTTCCTTATCAGAGGTAACTGTTTTTTTTTCTCTGCTATGTAAATTTACATTTGAAATTATGAACATTTTACAACCTTTAACGGGCCCCCCAGACCACCGGGCCTTATGGTAAAATAGGACCTGGTCAAAGACAGTAGTCTTTGATATCACACAATATAGGAAGCATTGTAAGTCTTTAAAAAAATCTTAAGATGTAACATTCTGTTGGGTGCTGAGCATATATTCTAGTATTATGTATATTTATATTGCAAGACTTACCTGTGTGTATCCTCTTATGTGCAACCATATGACTCAAATATTTAGTATGAAATCCACAAGAATCACAGGTCAAATTTTTATCATTTGAATGAGTTAGAAGATGGGCTTCCAAATTCTGTTTGAATCTAAAGGCCTTGGAACACTGTTCACATTTGAAATTTTTTTCAGGTGTGTGAATTTTCATATGGGATACATAATTCTGTTTTTGTCGACACTAGAAAAGGACTTTTATGATGATATAATGTTACAATTAAGCATATTATGTACCTTAAAAGAACAGAACGTACACTGGTAAATAGACTCGTCCAAATGCTGAGCCCTATGGGTTATTAACTTGGATATTTGATCAGTATTATAGTCACCTATAACAATACAATTTAACTAAAAATAAAAAGTATTGTAAATCGATAGAGGACTCACAGTAGTCACACTTAAATGGGGGGCCACTGAAGTGGGTCTTCATGTGATTTAAATAATCACCATGATATTGACATACAAAAGAACAAATACTACATTTATAAGTGACATCTTTAGCGTGGCTCAAAGCAAGATGTTGCTCTAATAATAAGCTATCATTAATGGTTGCAAAACATATGGGACACTTTATTCCAACCTTCTCATCGTTATCCTCACTCACTAAAAGTTATGAAATACTAAATATACAAATACCTTAGAGATAACTAATAATACAGGGTTGTTCACCACATACGACACGGAGTATTGTAGCTAAACGATTAGATTTTTACAAATTGTAAGTTTTGGGTTCGTTGAAGGACTATTAGAGCCACAATTTAAAAATAATTTTACAAGATACAGAGTGTAACAAATAAATAAAAAATATCAAAGTTGAATTTTTTTAAACAGAACACCCTGTATATTATTACATTTTTAGTTTCTACGATTAAAATAAAGGTAAATTTGATAAAGGTTTGTTATACTTAAACCTTACCGTTTTTGAAATATTTTCAATTTTGTGAAATTGTAGTCAAAATTTTAAGGCTTTATTTCTCCAAAGGTATCAAAGTTTTTAATACTAAATATTTACTGAAGTTTATTTATTGATCAGTTATTGTGTTGCAATAATAAAAATTATACTACCTTATACAGAGTGTCTAAAATTTTATTTTAAATAATTACTAGCTTTAAACGGCAATAACTTGTTTAATTTAAATCAGTAGTTCCCAAACTTATTTTTCTCGTGGACCACTTTCAAAATTTTACTGGTTTCGGTGGACCCCCTGCTGCTACATTTCTACCACATTCTTAAAGTCGCCAAAAAATAAAAATTGTGTCACTTCTGAGTTCTGTCCCTATATTCCGATATGTAAAATAAAAACGAAAAATGGTACATTTTATATCACTTTATTTATTAAAAGAATAGAATTACAAGAAAAAATATTAAGGTAATATAGGTTCAGGTCATAATTTTAATTAATGGGAAGGATGTATCTGATGGAGTGTCAGCAAACGATCAATGTTTGGCTTTATTTTTGTGAGCAATAACCGCAAATCCCCCCGCTCTGTGATGTTTAATTTGCTCTTTTTTTTGTTAAGAGGTTTGTAACGGCACTAAAACTCCTTTCGACAAGGTATGACGAGGGAAAAGCTATTAAAAATTTCCTTGCGATTTCCCACAGTCCAGGATATTTTTCGGGTATTTCTGCTTGCAGCCAAAATGTTGGGTAGCCTTTTCTAAATTTCACCTTCAGCTCCTCATTAGTGCTTAGCTCGAGCAGCTCCTCTTGTAATACAACATTGGCCACTTCCGTTTCATCAAATGGATTTATGATCCATGGTGGTATATCCATCGTCAGTATATCTTCAAACCTGGTTTTGAAGTCATCATGCAGAGCACTTAAATGTTGACTGTAGGTATGGATATCCTCATCAATACATTCTACCTGCGACAAGTTTGGAAATTGAGAGAATTCGCGCCGACTAATGTTTTGCTTCATAAATTTCAATTTCCCAAGAAAAGCCGAAATTATCCCCTTTGTTTTTATTAAATTCAGGCTGTCCCCTTGTAACTGCAAGTTAATATCATTAAATTTTTTAAACAAATCTGTCAAATACGCAATGTCTGCTTTGAATTTGATCAAGTTTTCTTTTAAATCTGGATCTCTACTTTCTAAGAACTCTAATATGGAATCGAAAACAGAGTAAAATCTCGTTAAGCATGCACCTTTCGACAACCAGCGTACTTCAGTATGTAAGAGCAGTCGTTGGAAGTCTTCATCATTTTCGTCGCACAATTGAGCAAATAAACGCGTATTCAATGCATTGCTTCTGATTTTGTTGACAGCTTTTATTACAAAATGAAGAGATTGGTTCAACCTGTCACTTAAATGTTTTGCCACAAGATGTTGTCGGTGGATTACGCAATGAATAGCTGTAAGTCCTGGTATAATTCTTTTGAGATGACTTATAAACCCACGATATCGCCCGACCATTGCAGGAGCTCCGTCTGTTGCCACTGAAATAATGTTTGTAAATGGGATCGATTTTTCCGTAAAAAAATTACTCAGGACATTAAATATTGATTCGCCTTTAGTGTCAGTCTCCAAAGTTCTGGCAAATAGCAATTCTTCGTGAATTTCTTCCTCAACAATAAATCGGACATATGCCAATAGTAATGCTTCATTACTGGGTAACGTTGACTCGTCCAGTTGTATAGAAAAATGAGTTTTTTGCAGATGATTGCACAAAAAGCTTTCGATATCAGAGCTCATTTCATCAATGCGTCTTTGTACAGTATTGTTACTTAATGGAATTCTTTTTAGTACGTCAAATGGAGATTTGTGCAAAACAGTTTTTAAAACCTCTTCAACAGCGGGTAAAATTAATTGTTCTCCGATAGTGTGCGGTTTTCCAGATTTTGCTATAAGTAATGAGATATTGTAAGATGCCCGCAAGCCATCATCGTTACTTTGAGATGTTGAAGCGAACATACTGTGCATGGTGGGTCTCTTTCCATATTTTTCTTTCAATGTTTGAAAATATTTTAAATCTTTACCTATTTTATCAGTATGACACCTTTTTAGATGATCTTCGAGCTTTGATGGTTTCATAGAGTCATTGCTCAAAACTTTGTTGCATAATAGGCACATGGGCAATTGTTTGTCTGCCTCTGATGGAACAAAACCATATTTCAAATAATCGATACTATATTGTCGACATTTTTTCTTTGCTGTAGCCATGTTTCGTGTCAGTTACCTTACCTGTAAAAAAAAAAAATGTTTTAGTAACCAAGTTTTTTCTGAATATAGGTATCACACCGCAGCCTTTGTCAGCACGCGGAAATAGAATTACGGCTTGTAAAGGGACCAACTAATAAACCGCTGAGACAAATACAGACGTTTTCACAAAACGGTATCAATTTTAAAGTACATAATTTACCACTAATTTTTAATAGTATAAATAAAATTGGTGTACTCAGTATCGAATACTGATCATATTTGTGTAGGAAAAATAAAAGTCGAAATCCCAAAATTGTCCATAAAAACGATAACTAACATTTTATTAAATCAATGAGTTCACGCGCTCCGTGTATTTGCGTATTTTTTGTCTGCGGCTTCATTGTTAAAACGTGACAAACTGGCATCGAAGTCCAAGCCCCGCCCTTTTCCCGTCGCCCGCGCACCGCTCGCTCTTTCCGAAAAGGAATAGTTTTGATAAAATAGTTACTTCAAAACCAATTTAAAATGATTATGAAATTACTGTTTTATAAAATTAGTAGTTATTTGCAAGAAAAATTACAAAATTAATTGCTCTGCAATATTGCTTATTCGGCCTTTTAGAGGGGCAGTGTTTCTCTCGTGAAAAAACAATTGAATAAAACGTGCTGTGTTTGTCTTCAAATCGAAAGAGGACAATTAAAATATCTGTAAGTTACTAAGTTACCTATCTATACAGGCCGTTGTGATCAACCGACTAGTACACGTAAACAAAATACTTAAGTACTATAACAAAAAAGGTAGGTTACTTACTTTTCTCCGGCACTAGCAAACACAGATATAAATTTTCTCACAACTTTTTTTCCAAATTCCGCCTTTTTTCGAAATTCCGGAAACAAATGAATGCGTTTGCCTTTGGCATCAAGTATTTATAGTGGTGATCAAGTTCATGTCTGAACAAGCATTAAGCATTGTCGGGCGGATAGCGCTTTGCAAGTCTGTACACGAAATTGTACGTAATATCGAATACGCAAGTTTGGACAAGTAACAGTCGCTTGCCTTATTAAAATATTATCTGCTTAGATAGGTACTTAAAACAATGTAGGTAGGCCTTATAAAAACTATGCTTACATTTTTGCTCTTTACTATCAAAAGCAGATAAATTTTCGTGGACCCCCATTAACATCTTATGGACCCCCATTTTTTGTTCACGCCTACGTAGACCCCCAGCAAGTCTCCCGTGGACCCCTGGGGGTCCACCTGGACCACTTTGGGAATCACTGATTTAAATGGAACACCCTATATATTATACGAGAATCAGATGCACAATTTAACTATCTCTTCAAGTTTTCGTAGAAAATGCATTTCCTTGTAATTTAGAACTTATTTATCAATATACCCATGGAATACTGACATTTAAGATTATTTTTAAAGATATACCAACTTTTTAAAGAGTACAGATACTAATATTGTCGATATAGTTTGTTTATTTCATTAAAAAATAAAAAAAAAAACTGTTTAAATATTTGTTAAAGAGGACCAATTTATATGATTCCAGTATTCAAACCACATTAATTGACTGTTTGCATTGATTAATAATAATTAGGTACTCCAAATACTAAAAAACTGAATTTTGTATGTGTATTAAACATTGCAGTGTGGTAAAAAGTAGCACCTTGAAAATGATATTTCATTTTTTGACAAATGCTTATTTATAACAACAGAGACATTTATTTTCATAATTTATTATTATATTGATTTCTGATCCAAATCCACATTTATTTAAAATAATTTATTAACGAACATAATCGGCGGAAATAATGGTGGTATATTTAATTAATGGTATACTCTTTTATAAAGATTTAAATAGTGCTTATAAATGGGCTAGTAATATTATCATTTTGCTAAAAACGATAATATTACTAGCCTGTACATTTTGTACATTGGTTACTTTAAAAACAATATAAAATGTCAATATTTCATGTGTATATTGATAAATGAGGTCTAAATTATAAGAAAATGCATTTTCTACGAAAACTTGAAGGGATAGGTAAAAAGTGGTATAATAGAATTTGATAGACAATCAAATTGTGCATCTAATTCTCCTAAAATATACAGGACGTTCCATTTAAATTTAACAAGTTATTGCCGTTTAAAGCTAGAAATAATTTAAAATAAATTTTTAGACACTCTGTATGAGGTAGTATTATTTTTGTTATTGCAGCACAATAACTCATCAATAAATAGACGTCAGTAAATATTTAGTATTAAAAACTTTGACACCCTTGGAGAAATGAAGCCTTAAAATTTTGACTGCAATTTCACAAAATTGAAAATATTTCAAAAACGGTAAGGTTTAAGTGTAATAAACCTTTATCAAATTTACCTTTATTTTAATCGTAGAAACTAAAAATGTAATAATATACAGGGTGTTCCATTTAAAAAAATTCAACCTTGATATTTTTTATTTATTTGGGACACTCTGTATCTTGTAAAAATATTTTTAAATTGTAGCTCTAATAGTCTTTCAACGAACCCAAAACTTACAATTTGTAAAAATCTAATCATTTAGCTACAATAGTCCGTGTCGTATGTGGTGAACAACCCTGTATATTAACTAGACCTAATCCCAAAATTATACAAGAAAACGTGAATTTAATTATTGTGTCACAATCAATACTCTCTCAGAAGTTATACAAAATTTAAATCTACCTTCAGTCTCTTCCTTCTCATTTTCACTAAGAGAAATTCGTTGTTTTCTACACGTCAACATTTTTAAAGCTGCCATTCGAAGGCTGGGTTTCAGACCCAGTAACATAAGTTTTTTCAAAATAATCCTCTTTTTGTTTTTTAGACTAGCACGAACTCTGACTGAGTTTAAAACATTTTGTGTAGAATTGTTCTCTGTTTTTTCTGTAACAACTATTTTCTCTTGGCGAAGGCTATCTTGATCTTGGGTTTTTGCATCACTAACTGTTATCTAAATAATAAGATAATATATTTTTGCTAATATATATTTTTTGCTTTACATACCTGGCCATATTTCGCTTGTAGAACTTCATAGCGTGTTTTAAAACTCGAAAGGGTCCAATTATTCTGAGCTAAATAGTCCAAAAATCTAAATAAACATAATTCACTTTTAGTATATAATATACACGTGTCCAAGTGTTTAAACACTTCACTGGGTTCTAAGCTATTAGTATAGAAGCACCTAACAAGTTTGTCAAAATATTTTTCTCTTTTTTCTATGTCTAAAAGCACCCATTTTGATAGAAGACTAAGGGCTTTTTGTGTTGTTAGTATGAAATTCTAAAAATAATAGTGTTAGTGCCCAACCCCATTTATAAAATTATAAAGAAACATGTACCTTATTCCTGAAGAAGTCTTGTAATTCCTTTGAACTTAATCTTCCTATTTCTTCACCATCACAAATGTTATCAATATGACTAGCAATCCAGTTTTCTACTATATTTCCTAAATGTTTCAACTTAAATCGTTGTGTCAAAAAGTACGTAAACAGACAATTTTCTAAATTTAGTTTAGTGCCTAAGAATTCTATACAGTACTCTATAACTTTGGTTAATATAAAATGGTCTGCGAGTTTTAAAAGTTCCTCTACATTGGAGTGCTTTATAGTTATCTCTCCAGTATACATAAAATTAAGTATGTTATTAAATATTTCACTATCTAAACAGTTTACTGTGAGCTGCTCTTTAACTACTTTGTGATGCTTCAATACGGAATCGAAATAGGGCGAACTGCACGCCAAAACGTTGCGGTGTGCTTTAAGAATTTTGTTATTTACATACAGTGTCACATCACAAAATCTATTTGTCTTCTTCTGTTCATACAATTTATGAAACATTGTAGATGATAATTCCGAGCAATGGAACGTCATGGATCTATTATCTTCCATAATAATCATCTGAAAAAATAAATAAATATCAAACAGGCTAGGCGAAAAGGAAAATTACAATTACCTTTAACTAGTTCATTATGCTTTAGATATTCCACAGAGAACTGTAAGTCCGAGGGTTCTCTAAACCCAAACTTAAAAAAATACTTAAAAATAATGTGGGGTGTATCATTTTTGCTTTTTAATTGAAATTTTCACAAATTTATTCTATTCATAATAGAATAGTGATTTTGACATAAAAACATAATACAGCTGTCAGATGTCAAATGTATGTCAGATTTGTTATTGAAAGTAGGAATGAGGCTCATGAAGATTTATTTCTTATCGATATATTTTTAAATTAAATAATGATAATTCTTAAATTTTGCTAAGCATTAGAAAAGGTATCAGTAATAATAAAACACAATACTTAAAATGTTCTTAATGCTCATACGTGTTGGTTAAAAATTGACACTTGGATTAAAGAGAAAATTTGTGTTTTCATATTATTTTAATAGTAATCCTTCACCATTTCGTCAAGTAATAATTAGTACCTATTTTGGTTTTGATAGTTTTTGATCTGATTTAAAAACGAATAGTGTGCTGAGAAAATTGTACATTAGTAATTTAGTCAGAGATCTAGTTTAATTAGAGGTTTAATGGCAGACGGTAGAAACAAATTGCGGAGAATTATAAAAACATTTTTGTGTGTTGTTAAATAACTATTTTATGTGAATAACTTTCTGTTTCATACTGAAAGTTTTAAGTGCAGAGCTTCGTTTGACAAGTAAGTGATTGTTATAATCAAAAAAGTTATCGTAGTTTAAAAATTGAAATTTGCATTACCTATTACAATTTAACAATGTTTTATTATAACAAGTGGTATTTTCTTGTAATACGTATTTCGGCTTGGACACTGTAACGTAAAAGAAGATATTTATATTAAAATGAAATAACGTTATTTATAGGGTGGTGCGACCAAGATTTAATAAAATAAATAGTCACGAGTTTCAAAAATTATGTATTCAAATATAGTGGAGACGCGTGGGTTCAATACTTTAGTAAATTTAGGGGTAAGTAGAAGAAAAATGTTACGCGTTTACGCCCAAAAATAGTATATTGTTTTATTAGGTGTAAAATTATACTTTTTGTAGCAAGGCTGTACGTTTATCATTACAGGCGAGGTAAAAAAAAAGTAATTTTTACTCCGAATAGAATATGCTATTTTTTTTCAAACGCCACAAATAAGTTTTCAGCAATTTTAAACGTTCCAAATAATTTTCCAATTTGTTTTTCAAACTTGTTATAACATGAAGTAATTTTTGTTGGTTTTAAAGGAACATTCTCTATATTATTTCTTTTTAAAAGATGAACATTTTTTGTATTTAAAATGTTTTGAATAACTTAACTGTTTCGCAGATATTTGAATTGGGGTGTTATACCGTATAATCTAAAAAAAAATGGCGTCTAGTTGGCTGGAAAATGACGATCGATGACATTTTCCATATAAATTTATATACAGGTTGGCGCATCTCATTCGCTTCGGTTGATTATACGAAAACGGAAATATGTAGATACAAAATATTTTATGGGTATATGTGGGGAGGCAATATGGCACAATTTAAAATAATTTTGAAATATACAGGGTGTCTCAGAACTAAGATCCATTCCAAAGTTATATTTTTTCTTACGGAACACCCGGTATTTTATTTCATTTTTGGATTCTTGGGCCCAAAAAAAGGCATTTATTATAAGGGTTAAATATGTTTAAAATCTTTCGTTTTTGAGATATTTAAAGATATTTAAATATGCATGCTACAAAAGAATTTACTATTAACACCCTGTACATTACTTTTCACAATTTATTCTTGTGCTGAGTTTAAAGGTAAAGAAATAAACTTTACTGAAAAATGTTATTGCTTCCTTAAATTTATACAGGGGTACCAAAAATTGGTGATCTATTTTAAGGATTTATTTTACATAAAAGTATTGTTATTTCAAATGCAACACCCTGTATTTTTTTAAATAAATCGAAGCAGATTTGCTCTTTCAAACTATATTAGGGTTTCCTATACCTATCTATCTCAGATTTTGAATAAAAAGCGATTTTTAAATAAAATGGCAATCAAGATGGCTGGTGCCATGGCTATTTTCTAGTGACAGTTAGTAACTATTTTCAAAACGCCATATTTAGGTAAAACATTATACCATTCAAATAAAACTACTGAAAATTTCAGTCAGTTTCAGAATATGCAGTCAGTCTTTTCTGTTAGGAACATTCAGCAGTAATATTGTTAAGAGATCATCCTAATAATTTGCTTAATCTTTGAGTGATAAATCATGGAAAAACTGAAATTACAACTTCATTGCCCCGTTTTGAGGTTTACAACTTTTGAAATTGACTACCAAACATTTGTGGGGTGGCATCAGTATTAGCCTGGTTTATTACAAGGGTATTAGTCAGTATTCAGCATCATAATCAGCATGAAATAGTAAGCGTTCGACTCCTGTCGTCGCCTGTATGGATGGTCTAGAAAGGTATGTTCGTTTAAATTAAGTACTGTATGTATGGGTAAAAATATGAAACCTAATAGCATACATATTTTTAAATTTTATTCAAAATCAAAAAAATTCAACCATATTTTCAAGTTTTTCTTAATTTTCTCTAAAACGGTATGTAAATTTTGAAAAGTATATACACGGGATTAACCATTTTAGAACAAGCAAAAATTTTTATGAAGAATGCATTTCTCTCAAAATATCAATAATAAAAAAGTCTTTCTTCTTGTAAAAGGGCAATCCGGGGACATACTGTATACAGGTGTTCTTTATTAGCTTAGATTTTTTTATTTCAGTTCTCTTAACAAAAATAGATAAATTTCTATGTCTAATTTCTATCCTTCTATTCTCATATTAACTTCAGCATTTGATACAGTGGCGGATACAGAGGGGGGGCCCATGGGGCCCGGGCCCCCCCTAAAATGTATAAATTTGGTTAAAAATTAGGCTTTTGGGGTTAAAATGGCTCCCTAAATAGCATATTCTACATTACTTTTTATTTGCCCCCCCCCCTAAAATAAATTCCTGTATCCGCCCCTGATTTGATATAATGAATAGCAAGGCTTTTAAACGTGCATTTTGTGTCTGTGTTATACAGGGTGGTCCGAACTGTATTCCGCAAACTTCGGCAGCATATTCTGCAGATAAAAATAAGTAAAAAAGTTCGTATAAATGTATGTCCTAAAATGCTTAGTTTCGGAGATACAGGGTGTAGAAGTTACATTTTTATTTCGATTTTTTCCAAATAATTTCTGCAGTCAATATTTGGATTAAAATTGAGGTCTGGGAGTTTTTTGACATGAGAAATTTGATTTTTATGTTAATATGACTCCTACTAGTAGAGGGCGCCACCTGAATATTTTTAACTGGTTTGAAGAGTAATAACTTCTCGTCCTTACCTGTATAAAACTACTTAGTAAAAAAAGATACATTTACGACGTTTTTTACGTAAAAAATATCTCTTGGTAAAACTCGCTACGAGTATTGGTTTTCGAGATATTTGGAATCGAAATTATCAATACCTGTTATCATTGACATAAATTAAACATGTTGACTAAATAGTTATTAGACTGATATAATAAATTCAAAATTTAATTTTGTGCCAAAAGTTCAACAGAAACTGTTTTATCATCATTTTTTTTTGCAGAAAATTTTATGATTAATTTAAAAAAAAAATCCGAAATATATTATATTTCAGTGAAATAATTATCTACTCAACGTGTTTATTTTTCGTCAATAATCACATGTATTGACTATTTCCATTCTAAATATCTTGAGAACGGTTGCTCGTAGCGATTTTTACAAAGAGATATTTGTTACGTAAAAAAGTCACTGAAGATGTATATTTTTCCCTCGATAGTTTTTATACAGGTACGGACAAAAGTTATACGCTTCAAAACTGTGATTAAAGCTGCTATGTAGGTGTAATTGTCCTCTACCTGCTAGGGATTATATTGACATCAAATCAGAATTTCATCATAAAAACTCCCAGGCCTCAGTTTCATTCGAATATTGACTTCCAGAAATTATTTGGAAAATCGAAATAAAAATTTACCCTAACATCTCTGAACTACTACTACCATTACTCGCTGACGAGAGTATTTGACACGCACCAAAGATGGTTACAAGGCGCTTCCTGTCATGAGCTTTCTCTGACTGAAAAGCCCGATACGTGATGTTATCTCTCTTCCGCACTTCGGACATTCAAAAATCTCATTACTTTGTTGCCTCTTTATTTTTTGGTTGTCGTTATTAACTGAATTTACAATTCTCCTCCATTGCGTTCTATTGTGCGCTGCTTCCTCCCACTGATGCTGCATACTTATCCCCTTTGAAGTTTTCATGGAAAATATCTTTGTATCTTTTTCAGTTGTCCACCCGGTTTCCTCTTACCCTCTACAAGTTCACCGTAAAGAAGAGATTTCGGTAGGCGGTTTTCTTGCATCCTGCATACGTAGCCAGCCCATCTTAAGCGAGATTTAGTAATCATGACTTCAGCGCTCTCGCAGCTTGCTTTTTTAAGGACTGATACGTTTGAGACATGGTGGTACCATTTGATTCTTAAAAGTTGTCTAAGGTGTCTCTGTTGCAACTTGTTTAATGCGCTCGTGTGCCGGCGCACAATGGATCGAAGCATAAGAAAATAAAGACATTGGCTCTTTTTGAAGAGTTCCAAATTTAAATATTTTTTCACATATTTGTGTTAAAGAGATATTCTAGTTTTGTAAAACATATACAGTATGTCTGTTTGTTATTTACTTATTGAGCATATGAGCACCATTTGAAGTAAATTGAAAAATCATTCAAATTGGTAGATAAAGAGTCTTACATTTGATTGTAATTTTAAAATGGATGTAAAAGATATTCGTTTGTTATATATAACGACTTATTAGAAGCGTTCTTGGGCTATAATATTGGATAGTTAAATTAAAAAAAAAGTCACACCAGAAGTGAAAAATTCATTTTTTTTATTTATGTCATTAAGACTTAAAAATATAAAGTTTTCTTGAATTACAAAGAAATGTAAGCGGATGTAAGTGGAGATATTACGTGCAATGTAAAGAGCCACCTTTACTAGCACATATCATAAAAAAAATTGGCTGCCCCAAAGTGCCACTGCAAAAAATATAATGTTTTTAATGTCAAAATCCTTGAATGTATGCAATGCAGGCAGAGTGCGCCATAAAACAATTTGTAATTTGCCGATATACATAGGTAAGTATATTCGTCGAA